TGGGGAGAGCATGGGTATGGGATCTTCATCACTTGGGGCTTTAAAGGCAAGTTAGACAGTGGGTGTTACAATTGTTGCTATTCCTGCTTTTAGCCAAGGGGACAAGCTCTTTTCAGGCTTTTTTCCCTCTGAACAATTCCTGTTCTCGGTGACATTTATTTTGGTTTGTATCCTACAGAAGGGATGCAGAAGGTGAGTATTCTTTTTGGCTTTACCTCTGTAGGCTGGTCTCAAGAAAATCATCAAGCTGAAAAAGCAATGGATGTTGCTTGACATAACAAGATCTTTGTTTAAACCTCAAATCTGTGTCAACTAGCTAATGTTATAAGGCATCTTATTGCCAGCAGAGATGGAAAAGGTTTAACTGCTTCCAAAGCTTTCACAGACCTTTCTGTAACAGCTCATCAACAAAATCTCTCATTCCAGGATGGGTCTGAGTTTGTCCTTGGAATCGCACATCGGCCAAGTGCAGAGAAAGAGTTGAAAATTACTTTGGATTCACCTCCACTGGTGAGGACTGGCCTGAGGCTCGACTTCCTCCCTCGAAGGTGGGTGATTTCAGCATCTTCCTATTGCAGTGAGAAATATGAAAAGTGGCATATCACAGAAAAGCCCAAGAATGAAAGCAATGATTGCACTTTCATGTAAACAGATCAAATCCTTGGGCCACTTGCCCTGTTCTCATCAAGTCCTCATTTACCTTCTCTCTGTAAATTATTTAACAGTAATTATGTTCTCTTGGAATGAACGCTTCCTGTTCACATTTGTGCTTTAGCCAATAATGTATCGCAAGGATGTAGAATGGATACCTGTCTGCCTGTGGGCCAGCTTTCTCTTTTCCTAATGCATGAGCACCTATGGCAGCATCTGCCTTAATTTCTTTATTCCTTTTAACTAGTTAAGTGCTGGAGAAGAGATGGAAGACAGCAGCTATGTGTACAGAAAGCATCCCGGCAATCACAAATTACTTGGGGAAACAGGAGCTTCAAAGATTTTCATGAGAACACCAGTTGCAGGCTGATTCATTGAACAGTCACTGGATGCCATCTCACTAGGATGTTACTTGGTGAAAATCTATTTTGAATGTCTGGTGGTGTCTTTGCACTAATTTGGAACAGAAACTTTCAGCAGGGATTGTTAAAGTGCTGTGGTGGCTATGCCAAATCAGACTAAATATCACTCTAGCTAAGAAAACTTTTGCCAGTAGCAAATGACCATAGTAGAACCATGACAAACATGTACTCCCCTGTATACTTTTCCCAGTGATTCCAGTGACATTACCAAAAGCAATGAGTTTTAGGGGAAGCTGTTAACACACTGCTTTACAGGATTTATCTCATGTGATTGTGCAGATTCCAGACTTGGGGAACATCACATAAATACAGACTATGCCTTTCTGACTGTCACGCAAGACTTCAGCACAGTGAAAGGTGAATTTGCATGATCATCTTCATCTTTCTTAAGTGAAACTTCCTGCTGAAAGGGAAGCTAACTCCAAATAAACTCTGAATGTTATAAAAGATACAAACAGGATGTTAGTGGCTTACTTGTTTATGTCCTCTTTATTAACTGGTTTCTGGTTGAGGGTACACATGCTCTCACTTTTGCTAACTGATGAAAAAACTTGAAGCAACAGGTATGTATAGTAAGAATTTGGATTTAAAGTAGTGCTGGTTGACAGTAAAGTGCAAATACTTTTAGTAGGACAGTGATAAAAACAGATGCACATGTTGTTAACTTCTATTAGAGATGTTAGTACTTATTTTAGTAAAATTCAAATGCAATTTGAATCATTTTAGTAAAATGACACCATCTTACCAAAGCTGGGGAATATATAAGGAAATATTAGAATGTGCTTTGCATTTAAAACTGATTAAATTGTTAAGATGAAATTCACCTCATATATAACTGTACAGCCTCTAAGATTTTAGAACTCACAGGTCTTAGCTTCTCATACTTAATTCTTACTCGCAGTTTGGAAAATAAAAGCAGTCCAGTGGTCTTCTCAGTGCTAATACTGAATTATGAACTTTCCTATTTTTGTAGAAGGCAGAGCTGTCAAACTGCCTGAATAATTTCACCCAAATGTACTCGGTACTTAATCATTTACTTCCTTCACCCATTTCTATCTTCAAAACTTTTGCTCCAAGCATGTACTAAATAGCTTCTTGTTTACATTTCTTATGCTATACGTTGGCCTTATTACGAAATGTCAATTTCAGTTGTCAATTTCAATTTTTCAGACAAAAGCTTTTATATTAAAAAGCAAAAGTACTGGATATAAAATAGATCTGAGAAGTTAGGCGGGTTATTTGGGAGCTGTTTGAAAGAAAACGTATGCAAAGTGGTTAAAACTTGGTACATGGGCATATTTCCTGTGATTGTATATCCAGAGGGGACTATTTCCAACTATAATGATCAGCAATAGTAATAGTAAATGCAAAGGAAAATAGCTTAATTTCCCAGTGGATATAAATCTGAATAAACATGACTTTTTTTCCTGACATCTTTGGGACAGCAGGCAAGGATGTTTCTGCTTTCCAAAGGAAAAATATTATTGCTTTGAATCACTGCACAAAAATGCAACTACATTTTATATCTGAAGTGCTACACTAGGAATGTCAGTGAAATTATGCTGTCACTGTCAACATTAATGGATTTAGAAAACAAAGATTTAAGACATCAGACTTTAAAAGGGAAAAACAGGTTTATTTCATGCAGTTTACAATACACTAGTGTTATGAAAAGGAGGTTAAAAAAATATCCACACACATTTTAGCTGTATGTTTGTTTTAAAAATGATGGTTAACTGTAACCACCTTCAAATGATTTGGGAAGCCCTAGCAGTATTTTATCCAGGGAAATTCCATGGATTCAGTTTCTTGTCTATGTCTGTGCTAAGAGTTCTGGCTAATGCGAAAGCATTAAAACCAGATCAAAACTCAAACTTTGCTGCAGTAAGAACACTTCAGAGATAATGAATTGGCACAAAATAGTGTTATTGCTAATCCACTATCCAGGAAATAACGTTGCAAGTATGGCCACTTGGATAATAACACAAACAGCTGATGCACAGCTAATGTTGAGACCAGTGACTTCGGAGAAGAGTTTAAAAAAACAAGTAACATCTCCAGAATTGGGTAGGTGGGCTTAGAGAGTCCATGGGAAATAGCTCTCCCATAGGAAGGCTCAAGTGAAACTTAGAATGGAAGCAGGTGGAAATAGTTGCCATTTGATGCTCCTTCAGTTTGGTGACCTTGTTTCAGTTTCAGGTAGAAACCTTGTCGAAGACTTGTTTCAGTTTCAGGTAGATAGGCTGCAACATTTCTCTTACAGTGCCTTGGCACTTGCTTCATCCTAGCAAGTACACATGAGCCAAGTTAAGTTTGAGTAAAGCTGTTCATAAGCTTTTGGAAAATCCTCAGAAGGAGCAAGAATCATGCACATAAATACATTAACTCTTACATTTCAGATGACCAGACCTGGAAATCTCAACAGGTGCCAGGTCAAGTCAAAATTTAGGCTCAGCTTTCTAAGGTCTCTTCACCCCCAAAGTAGCAAAATAACTTTCTAAAAGGTCTCTCTCATTATAGCAGTTATTAACACACAACATCCTAAAAAGAACCCTTTGATGGGCCCAGAAAACTATGTTTGCAGCAGTATCTATTCACAGGACCTTTGAGTTTATGCCTCAGCAGACCTTGCTAAAGTAAAGGGCAGCTAAGCAACAATTTCCTGGGGCAGAATCATCTCAAGGTCTCTCTGTCACCAATGCTGCTCATGAGAGTTGTCAGATTTCAGCACGGGCAATAACAAAGTGCTGGGCAAGTGTACTGTCTTCTCTGACCAAGGTGGATACTGAAATTCCAAACCATATATGAACACTTATATCTGCAACTGCTTCAGCCATTTGTAAAGATGACTTTGGAGTGTGTGAGTTGAAAGAAAACCAGAGCAGCTGCTTTTTAAATGTTATGTGTGTCCGGAACTTCAGATTAGCCCTGGAAAGGATTTTTAGCCCTTAGCATTTCTGCACTGAAAATGGAAAGAGTTCCTCTGTCTGACACTCATTTAAGAAAACTGAACAGTAAGATCTACTTAGCCCTTTAAAGCCTCAGTTCAGTAAGAAGCCTTTAAAGACAGATCCTGATTGTTGTGAGCCAAAGGAAAGTTATATGCCACTGATTTCAGAGAGCCTTCCACCTTTTTTTTTTAAACTGAATATTTACACTATTTTAAGAATCTATAATTCTAAAACACAAACCCAGGTAAGATCCTGACACTGTCCTTCAAGCTGGAAATAACTGCAGTTTCAACTGTAATGAAACAACAGGCAGAATTCTCAGACCGTACGTATTTCAAAACTGTTGTGTTAGAAAAGACAATTGTCCAATGACCACAGTAGGGTTAAACCAGGAAGTTTTAATCCCCCCATCGTGAGCTACCAGGTACTTGGAAAGGTGTAACAAAATCTCGTCTCTTTGCAAGTGCCCCACCTTTCAGGGCTGATTGAAGAATTTAATTTGAAAAACTTGAAAGATGCTTTTGATGTGGTGAGAGAATAAAATAAGAGAAAGTGTCACACTTTCTGACTTTATCACGTCTCAAGTGGACAGACTCTCGTTCACTTACTTTCGTCTCCATGAAAAGCCCAGTACTTCACCTTTGTCTCAGTACTTCTGAAAGAATCTCTTCCAGTACACCTGCATGACTGGACAGTACACATTATAATCCAGTTTCTAAGGTCATTTCATTCATCCAGATACTGCTGCGGTTTTGCATTCCACGTTCATTTTTTTAATACTAATAAAAATAGTAGTTTGTAAGTAATGTGTGTTAACTTGCTGGTGGTGGCTCTACAGCTCAAAAAGAGACTGACAACTCTTCGCCAACAGATACTCAAAGAGCAGGGTTCTGTCCTGAGCAGCAGTTCCCTCAGCACACCTGCACTCAGGGGGTTTGTTTTATCTGCTAGATGTTTTTTCTCCTGAAAAAAAGACCCAACCAATGAAACTCTCCCAGAGAAAGAGGAGACTGATTCAATTTTGGTATCTTCAGGAAACAGTCCTGTTTCTAATCAGCCATAACTGAGCATTCACATTGCTAGAAAGGGAGCAATACAGCTCCTGTAAGGAAAACTTGAAGAAAAAAAAAGGTGGATGGAGACTTTAAACTCGGTTTCTTAAAAAGTATCTTTTACTAATGCTACAATGAAAGACAAAAGGAACCTTCATCATCACAAGAAACCTGAGTTTGGAAAAAAACACAGTAAATTGTCAAGAGTTTTTGAGTATATGATTCTGAGGGATGAAAGTTTAGTAGAGAATTAATATAAGCTCCTAAATACAATCAGGCCTTTGACAGACAATAAATTACTGCAGGATAACAAACTGCACATAATCCATGGTGACCCCACAGGAAGTGGGGGGAAATTCCAGATAACCTCTTGTCTTTTGGTTAAAAAAAAACCAAAAATAATCTCTTTCACATTTACTGTGTGAGCTGCCAGGTCAGACTATACTTTTGGACAGTTATTATGGAGCAGATGCCATTTGCGTCTTGGAGGCCTCAGGATGACTCATTCATTGCAGATAAGCCCTGATTTGATTGCTGCTTGAAGAAGTCAAAAGCATTTAATACAAAAATGTCATCACCAGTGCAGAAAACGAGCCTCTGATAAAGCTTACGGCCAACAGTATGCTACCCGTTTCCTCGCTTCTTCAAAGCAAGAAATTGCTATGGCAAATTTGAACCTCTCGTTTTTCAAACAACTTTTGCAAGAAGTTTGTAACAGCCTTTAAGGAATTTCACTGAAAATCATGTGCTGAAGTAACCTCCTGTTCCATGGACAACACACCAAAGAACATCACTGAATATTCATATAGCAAAAGGGTAGAAAGTTAAATCACAGAATTTACATTTCCGTCAGAGATCACCTTGATTAATTGTTATGTTTTGGTATCTCTTCCTTCCTGCTTATTTTCTTCTGCTATGATCTCTTTGTGCTCAGGATCTTAAATTCTAACCTAGAATACTGTTTCAAGAATACAGGAGCTGTGTAAATCCAGAGTTCACATCACAGGCTTCCGCAGTACATCTATGAACCCACTGGCTTTACACAGTCATAGGCAGTTCTCTTGAAGTAACTACTCTTCAAATGACAGAAAGAAACAAAGGACTCCAGTTTAAGCTGTACCAGTACATCACCTCATGCTGCAAGATCTTGACAGATGAAGCCATGTTTACAAAACCTGGTGATGTATACTGGACTCTCATGCAGTTACCTCGTTACTATAACTAGCTTTATTTGAAATTACAATAGTCAAATAAAAGGAAACCAAACTTAGGGATCAATTCTTAATGCCCTGAAGAAGGCATACGGTAGCACTGCTATTGATCTGAAAACTCTACATGTTCACAAAAATTAAAGCAATAATGGCATTAGCAAGAACAAGAAAGTGGTTAGTTCAGGTGGTCTCAGCATATTTAAATAATTTGCAAGATACCTGCCTATTAAAGTTTATTGTTTTTTCTTTTTCATTCTTAACATCCTTGTGAGGTATTGGAAACAAAGTGCAAAACAATTAGCCACTCGTTTGCCCAGATTTGCTACAACAGGGACACAATATAAACTAGACTGCAGGTAATCTCACTGTAAAAGCATGTTTTTAAACTGGAAATACTCCAGTGGAAAAAAAAATACACCTAGAAAAGCCCACTCTTTTACATATTCTACATTTGTTCAGTTTGCTCAGTTTGTTACTCATGCTTTGCTGCTGTCATTCTTGAAAATTTCAGTGTATGAAAGAAAATACTCTGTCTCTTTTGGGTTAAATAAGAGAGACAACAGAAATGCTGATCCAGAAGGAGCACTGCAAAACCAACATTTCAGGCATTAAAATCCACTTCAGCCAATGTCGTATTACTCTGTAGAGCACATCAAGAAAACAACAAGAAACATGGTTGGCTGCAATTCCATGAGCTTGGGAGCTCAGAGAATTCAGTGGAGTCATACTGCTTAAAAACACAGTGACTACTGCAGCAGAGGAAATGTTTTAATATGCAGTTAACACAGACAACTGTTATGCTTATTTTCAGATACACAAGATAATCTGTTACTATTTCGGGGAAATTTGAGTGCTCAATTTAAGCTGATAAAATATGGGTGCCTAAAAAAGTATAAAAGTATAAACATTTCCCCCTACACAATTACATTTTTAGTAAATTCAATTCAGTTTTAACATCTTAAAAAAAAACCAAACAAAACCAAACACTTTCTGCGTTGTTGTGGAGGGGCCAGCAGCTTCCTGTGCAGACCTCAACCAAGTTGCAAAATGCGTTACAAACCCTTTCAAGCATTGGACGCATGGACAAAACATTCAGCCCATTGCTTAATCTGCTTAGTAGAAATGGTTTTTACAAATCGTTTCTGCCAAACTTTTATCAATGTATAAGAAGTTCTTTAAAAAAAAAACAAACCTAAGCCAAACAAACAAACAAAAAACCCCAACCAACCAACCAAAATAACCCCCAAACCAATCTCAAACAGCCAAGAGCCTGGCTGTTTGGAAATCAGGCATTTGTGTAAAGGATTACCTAGAGTAGATGCCTAAATTCTGAAGTTACTGACAATGGAAACTGTAACATCTTTAGAATTTAAAACAATCTTGTAGCTTTTTGAAACTCCCACTGCTTTCATAAGTCAATGAAACTGAGTTTTATACTATTTCATTAAGTGTTTTAAAGATGTGCTAAAGATTTTGCTTAAAACATAGTGTATTAAAAAGCTCCAGTCTTGTGTATTCACCTTCATCAAGGACAAACTAATAAAGCTGCACCAGATATTTTCGGTGCCCTTTAACTGCATAGTTGAAACAGTATAGAAAGAGAAAGGTTGGTTACAGGTATCCTGAATGTCTGATGTAATTAAGCTTTTCAATGGGATGATTTTGTGTTCACACTCAAGGTTGACTTTAACCACGCTTGTAGAGACAGGGAGCTAGGACTAGCCAGCCATATTTCCGTACAACCTCCAGCTCTTGAAAAATGTCTATCATAATCCACAGAATTCATTGCTTATAGGCATTTCATGAAAGCACAAACACACATATGAGTACAAACATCTCAAAAGAAACAAAATGTTCAGTTGTTCATTTTCAGTGAATTTTGATTCCCTTTCCAAACATCTGGTTAAGACTGGAGCATAACTTTTGCAGGAGGAGACTGTTTCAACAGAAGGAACATCGAGAATAACTCAGATTAAGGCCATTTTCTCTGAGTTTAGTCTTCCCTTTGGGCATTAAAATACGCTATTAATCCAGTCAATATATACACCCCTCCTTCAGAGAAACCTCTTGTCTGCTGTGTAACTTTTTACATGCTAGTTTCAGTTGATCTCCTAGACTGTTACTACATTATACAGTATGTCACAGAGCCATAAGGAATGTGCAGTATAACAGAGTCAACTGGGGCTGCCACTGATTCTGAAACAAGGTAGACCCCAAATATTTGCATTTGTGGGCTGTAATGTGTGTGTAGCACCAATTACATTGTCCTTTAAATGTTTGCAATGATTAGTAGGAAAATGTCTCCAAACTGATCAACATTGGGTCATCCAGCACCAGACATCAAGTGCTACATGTCTCAGAGGAAAATATGAGTGCATGGTCATTTGAAAAGACCAGTGTCTGTCAGCCCACAGGAGGGTACAACCATGCACTACAACCAAAACTTAGCACGCACTCCCACACCATCTATTCCCATTACGTAATCTCGCAATGCTTTCAGCCAGTTGACACCGGCTTATAGGCAAAAATGGTTGAACCCAGATCAACAGAGTATTGTCTAAATCAGATTTTTTTCTTTTGCAGCCGAGCCTCTTCAGTGTGACAATTCACTGTGTCTTGGAATAAAAGAGAAAAAACTGTCACCGTTCAATACTGTCTTCACATCCTGGAACCTCGCTCTTGCAAAATCTGAAACAGACCAATGAAAATTCTATAAATGAAAATTCGTTTAATGTCATTCCTAAAGCATGGAGATCAAAGAGAATCATGACTATTTCAAATAGCTGAGAGGGATCTGCTTCAAGGAAATTCCTGAAGTCTGTGCTTTAAGGCTGAAAAAGACAGGTTGATAGATGCAATGTCCACTAACAAACATCATTAAAAGAGATGTAAAGCAAGGCTAAGAATTAAGCATGAGTAATATAACCAAAGCTTAAGGATCGGTAGATGTAAAAAGTAAGCTATTTCACCTCAACCAACTACATTTCCTCACAGATTTTTACTATGCTATTCAGACATACAAAGGTTATCTGCTGGATTGACCAGCTATATAATAATAAATACTACTATGACAGCAGGTTTTAGATATTATTACATTAACATTACGTGCTCATGCAAGATCTCACAATTTTTTTACGCATCCTTGTCCTTATTTCTGTTGACGCAGAACATAGCACACTGAACTTCTCATGCACTGTTTTGTCCATCATTATCCTCTGAAATGCTCAAGCCAGGTAGCTGACAGGCAGTGCTAGCTCTCACTTGATAACTCTGTCTAAGGGATTTGATTCTCCCACTGTTACCAAGGAACTGAGATTCCCATTACAGTGAGTACAGGACTGGTTTTGGTTTTTGTTTTGTTTTTTTCCTAAAAGCAGTTGGTTTGTTTAATATTCACCTTAAAAGGCATGTATTAAACATAGGGACTGAAGTCTAACGGAAACTAAATACCCACCCCTGAAAAACCCAGGAATCCTTGTCTAGAGCATCTTACAACACGAAACCCATGTACTCTGCTTCCAGTGTGACCATTAGTTTCCTTTTCTGTTTCAATTCTGCTTGGCTGTTGGCGTAAGTATCTAAGTCTTAGGACTGACTGTCCAAGCAATGTTTCTCATGTTGCTACCCTACACTGACTGGCAATCAGCAATAATGAGCTCAAACTCTTGGGCTGTGTAGCACTGTGGAACTGCATAAGCAAACTGTAGAACCAATCATGCCATTAGCCAAATAAGGCACTATGAGAAGCTTCAAATATACTGAGCACAACTACTTGATAATGTTAATCTGCAGGTAAAAGTATCTCTAATTATACTTCATTTTCATTTGCTACTGGAAAGGACTGTTCATTTCAAAAGCTGCCAGGAAGCAAAGGCACAATCCCTGGACAATGGCATAGCTGTCTTCAATGTAGAATTTCCTTCTATGATGATTTCATTGTAGTCTGATACAGTGTAGTGTGATCCTAGCACACAGTAGCTCATTCCATCCCAGAGGACACACAGAATCTGACATCACACAGAAACACTTCAGTCTTTGTGCTTGTAAGGTAAAAACTGGCGATCACTTAACACAGCAGAGCAGTTTCATGTATGGTTTGAATTAGAAAACCATCTAGGTATTTGTTGTCTTTTTAATATTGTTAAAGCACTGATAATTTAACCTATCAGCTTTTGTAGGTCATTGAGCCTAATATGTCTTTCATAGTGAAGTAGGGTCTCACCTCCTTTGCACAACTCCATGGAACTTTTTAAGGACTGGAGTTCATAAAGAACCCATCACCACCGGTGTGCCTCAGGGACAGTTTAGAGACAGGTCAGTGTTAGCTTAAGAAAAGAAATCAATACTCCGCTTTATCACCTGCTCACTGCACCTCCTGCAGTACCTGGATCTCCCTGTGCTCACCAAGGTCTTTCTCATTTCAAATTCAGTATTATTGAAGTTATGAAGCCAGATGTCACTGCAGCTACTCTGATAAATCTCCAAAATACAGAAAAATGTTTTCAATGGGCCATGACATACTTTAGCGTGTTATTTAGATGCAAACATTGCTTATTTCATGAAGATAATTTACTATGTGTACTAAGCAAAAAGCATTTAATATGAAACTAGTTAAGATAAAAGTGAATTATGTGAGACCTAGACAGGCTGGAGAGTTGGGCGGGGAGAAATTTGATGAAATTCAACAAGGGCAAGTGTAGAGTCTTGCATCTGGGGAAGAACAACCCCATGTACCAGTACAGGTTGGGGACTGACCTGCTGGAAAGTAGCAAAGGGGAAAGGGACCTGGGGGTCCTGGTGGATACGAGGATGACCATGAGCCAGCAATGTGCCCTTGTGGCCAAGAAGGCAAATGGCATCCTGGGGTGCATTAGAAAGGGTGTGGTTAGTAAGTCAAGAGAGGTTCTCCTCCCCCTCTATTCTGCCTTGGTTAGGCCGCATCTGGAATATTGCATCCAGTTCTGGGCCCCTCAGTTCAAGAAGGACAGGGACCTGCTTGAAAGAGTCCAGCGCAGAGCCACAAAGATGATTAAGGGAGTGGAACACCTCCCTTATGAGGAGAGGCTGAAGGAGCTGGGTCTCTTCAGCTTGGAGAAGAGGAGCCTGAGGGGTGACCTCATCAGTGTTTACAAATATGTAACGGGTGGGAGTCAGGATGATGGAGCTAGGCTTTTTTCAGTGATATCCAGTGATAGGACAAGGGGCAATGGGTGTAAACTGGAGCATAGAAGGTTCCACGTTAACATCAGGAAGAACTTCTTTACTGTGAGAGTGACAGAGCACTGGAACAGGTTGCCCAGGGGGGTTGTGGAGTCTCCCACATTGGAGATATTCAAGGCCTGCCTGGACACGTTCCTGTGTGATATACTCTAGGTTACCCTGCTCTTGCAGGGGGGGTTGGACCAGATGATCTCTTGAGGTCCCTTCCAACCCTTGGGATTCTGTGATTCTGTGGAAAAGCCAGGTCCTGAAAATTGCTCAGCCACTGCTAGTATAACACATTCAAGAGGGATTAGACAAGCTTACTGAAGGTAGTGACATTGGTACCTCCTCATGGAATCATAGTGTCATGGTAGCTTTCATGCAATGATCTGCATACAGGCCTAAAGCTAAAATTCCTAAACTGAGGCTTACTGGAAGGTGGGAAGTATTCCAGGAGTTAATTTTATGAATGCTTCATACTTAAGCTCTTTTTTTGATTATCTGCTGTTACTCAAAGCTGTGAACAAAGTGCTGGAGTAGATGCCCCCATAGCAGATAACAGCTTGACCCAGCAAAAGTAGTCAGGAAGTTTATCTGCAACAGAGGCAAAACCATGGCTAATTAAGTACCTGTGCAGTTAGAAAATATTTGATCTATTAATATTGTGAATCTTTACAATCTAAAATGAAACAATTGAGTTTATTCTTTCCTAGAAAATAAAAAGATAATTCCAAGATCAACAGAACAATTTTCTACAGCTTCAGAACATGTACAACAAGATAAAGCTAAGCCAGATCTGGACACTGAACACTCTACTGAGCCAGGAAACCTAACATGAAGTAGAAAATTTTGTAAGATCAGGCAACATTTTAACGCATTTTGATTGCTACTTCGTCTACGAGACCTATGTTTACAAAAGGAGAAACAATTTCTGATCAGCAAACTCTCAGAAGAGGTGTTCAGAAACTGTGTGAGAGAGGATTTTTCTAGTCAGGGGCAGTGACTTTGTCCAAAGAAGAAATACAAAAATGGTAACCACTGGAAGACTGACTCTGCTGCAGTTTAAAATTAATCTTTTACTTTTATTTACTTTTCTCTCCTGAAAAATCCTTTACTAAGAATATTCCTGAAGATTTTAGTGGGTTACTGAGTAAAAATGCTGAGAGGATATGTTTCAAAGCTAAGAGAGGTCAGTTATGGCAGGTCTTCTCCTAATCTGCTAGTAGCCAGGATTGTGGAGTATGTCTGCAGCAGAACCAGGCACAGAAGAAGTTTTTGTTTGAGGACATGCTCTACTAGCTATATAGGTGACTTCCCTGATAATGCTCCTCTGTCCGCACATTTTAGATCACAGAATTACTAAATGATTTAGGTTGGAAGGGCCTTTAAAGATCATCTGGTCCAATCCCCTGCTCTGGGCAGGGCCATCCTTCACTAAATTAAATGCTTGAAATGATGCTCAAAGCCCCACTCAACCCAACTTCGAACACTTGCAGGGATGGGGCATCCATAACTTCTCTGGAAAACTTCATAGTAAAGACTTTCATCATTTTATCCAATCTAAATTTACCCACTTTCAGTTTAAAAACATTGTCTTTGGTTCTGTTGCTACGGGCCCTGGTAAGAAGTCTTTCTCTGTCTTTTTATAAGCACCTTTCAGGTATTGGAAGGCTGCAATGACATCTCCCCGGGGCTTTCCCTTCTCCCAAACAACCCCAATTCTCTCAGCCATTTTTCCTAGCAGAGGTGTTCCAGCCCTCAGACCATTTTTGTGTCCCTCCTCCGGACCCAGTCTGGACAGGTCCATGTCTTTCTTGTACTGGGAACCCCAGAGCTGGACAGTCCGGATGCTCCAGGTTGGGTCTTCATAAGAGCAGAGCGCAAGGCAAGAATCCCCTCCCTCAACCTGCTGGCCAGCTCTGGATAACTGGCTTCCTGAGCTGCAAGTGTACTCTGCTCATACTACCAGTATCTCTGAGTTGTCCTCTGCAGTGCTGCTCTCAACCCATTACTCACCCAGTCTGTACTGGTACAAGAGACTGTCCCTACCCTGGTGCAGATCTGCTGTGTTCAGGATTTTCCTTCTTTTCATGCTCTCTTCTGGTTTTCCTCCAGGTGCACCAGATCCAAAGTTAAGTTATAAACTGTAAACACTGCTGAACGCATTCTCATATCAGAGGGGCCTGAGTGTGACTGCTCCTTAGGGAAGCAGAACACAAGAACTATTTCCTCCCACTCAAAATAAATCTGCTGCACACAGAACAGCATCTTAAGGACTGTTTGTCTCTCAGGCAGCTTAAAAATCTTGCGTTCACTTCCAGCACAGTGCCAATTTATTTTTTTCAATAAAGCTTCAGATGTGACCTGTTCCTTGCAGCCACTCCTGAAGACCTGGCGGAAGACCTTATTCTATCTCAGCAGTAGTTTCTGTTAGCATCAGTAAGAAGATAACGTAGGTTCTTCCTTAAACATGCGGAAGCAACTACAGAGATAAGTCTGGTTTACAGCTAAAAAATTCAAGTGTGTAGGTAAGAAGCTTGAATTCAATCTCATGCAATGCTAAATATCTCAAATTTATACTACTCAAGCAACTATACTAAACGTATAACTGAACATTCAATGATAAGTTACCTGCTAGAAACTGGATAGTAGAATAAATATGAGTAGTGCTGCCAGATGCATAAGTAGTTGCAGAAGTTGTGCTTTCTGATGCAATTTCTGTGCTCTTCCATTTGTGACTTTTACAGTATCTGATCTTCAATAAGATGTTGTACAATGGAAAGGACCTGATCCCTCCCCAGAGACAGTTGTTTCTTATGATAAATAGAACTGTAGCACTGAGATCACACTGTTTACTTGTATTTGCCAGATCCTGATTCAGAAACTAATAATTTCAAGATTATCAGCTAAGACCATCTTTGCTGATGTTGCACTGAATGTGTAACCTGTAGGTTCCTACCAGATGACTCTACATGTGAAAAAAATAGTTGACGTAAAAGCTGGTGCACAGAAAATGAAAATTAAAAGCACTTCTGACCCTAGAATCTACATGAAGAACTTTTCTGCTCAGCAAAGCTGTAAAGGAACCAATCACAATACATCTTATAAGAGCAACACCGATTATTCTGCCCAAGAAGCAATATCCAGATCAGGAATTCTATGTTTGCTAACCATGCCACCACTATAATCACAAACACACATACCACCAGGACTAGCCAAAGAACAGCACTAGTGGGGTAGGAACTGGATGGAGCAGAAAAGCATCTGTGTAAATTCCTAGGGCAGCTAATGCTCACCATGACATTTACACTTAATCTGAGTCATTCATATCGTAATCCGTTTCTTCATCCTCACTCTGAGTGGCATGCAGCATGCAGCAAGTATAGAGAAAGGAAGGGAAAAGAAAAGATTGCAAGTGAGTCAAAGCTGCAACAAAGTACAGTCCACTTACACTTGAAGCATCTGTAAATGACATTTATTTACTTTTATCTGGGACTCCCACTCTTTGCAAGAAAGTACAACAGCAGACAGCATCAAGAAGGAACATGACAGATTTCATTAAAATTTCCTTTTTCAGATGTCCTAAAGTTAGCAGACAGAAGCCAACAGTGCCATGCAACATAACAATAGGGACCATAAGTATAGAGAAAAGTTAAATAAAACTGTAAAGCTGGTACTTTTACTCCGTGTACTCTTCATCATGGATGGGAAAGGATAGCACTTGAGAATCAAACTTTGGCGTTATGTTATGAATAATGTTATGATGTTATGAATAATCTTTGGTCATTTGTCCAAAGAGTAACAGATCAATAAAGTGGTACAAAATAAAATAATGCTTGTGGGAATACAGGTTATCGTTTAGTAGGGTCATGGCTACCATTAAAACCCACTAGAACCATTTAAGTCAATGTCCCAGATGCCATTTATTTCCTTAGCTTAGGTGTATTTGAAGGTTACACAGAAGTCAACTACTAACTTACTATGGAAACTGTTTTCAAAACAAAAAGAAACATAAGAAGAAGTCTCCGAGAAGGAATGGAGGTGAAGCTTGATTAGAGGGGCTATCAGGGAACGGCTTTTCCTAGTCTGACAGTCCAGTACTATCAACTAAAACTGAAATGCTTGACAATAAAAATTACATACTGGCAGTTTTTGTTTTTTCTAACCCAACCTGCTGTAAAAGTAACAGGAAGACTTTCTCCATAACTTCTAAAAGTCAGTCCCAATACATGAACATATTATCCTGTATATACCGCTGAATACCAGGATTTCAATCATATGAACTTCATTAAGACCACTGAGCTACTCAGACAACAGCTCCCAAGCTGCAGGCAAGATTCCTGAACACGACTGTCAGAAACCTCTCAATCAAAAATAATTTTCTATTTCTCTTTTCAGGCATAACACATGCCTATTAAAAATAGTGTTGTGGTTTAAGCCAGCACTGCACCAGCTACTAAGAAAAAGAACTGTTAACAGCTGAGCCCAGGACAACTAGAAACACAGGATACAAAAGATTACTTTTCAAGTACTGCTATTAGTTGCTAGCAATACCTCAGCAATTCCAGGACAAAAGGAGTGAATATTGTATCTCTAGCCTTAATCAACATCAATTCTGCTTCATTACCTGGACAAATTACGCCCTGCTCTCTTTCCTGAAACAGTGACCAAGAAGCACTTCAATGCAGAGGTTGAAGATCTAGCCCCTCTCAGAGCTACTGAATTTGCAGAGCTGTACTGCCCTTTGAAGTAGCTTTTATATTTAGGGTTTAATCATTTCATTTTAACAGTATTTTCTTTTCCATTAAGGGTGCAGTATAACTCTGGCAACTTCTGAAGTCCCCTGAAGATGCACTATCATTCCTTACGAAGATTTTTATTAGATTCTAGAGTTCCATGGTTTATTTCAGTCCTAAATTATTACCACACATTTCTAACCTGTTAGCTTTGCATCTTGGCAAAAGCAGACCCCAACCTGGGGTACTGGAAAGTGAGCCATAGCTTAGCCTGGTTCAGCGTCTACCTTGACTACATTAACCCCTTACAACTCCTTGGAAGTTTTATCTCAACAGTTACAAAGTGCATAAATTAATCATTTCACTAAGAATCCAATGTAAAGCTTGGAGTGTTTTTGCAGTGCAATTTACAAAAATGTCCCCATATATGTAGCTGCATAACCAAGTTACAAGGCATAGAAAGTAGTGAAGCTTTATCTGTTTGAGGCCTCAGTGCCAGGACCCAGGTCAATTCTTAAGCATTATTTCAAAATCCATCTCTTTGAAAGTTATTCTCGAAAAAGCAAGCTTTGATGTTTCACCAGTTGTTTCCCATCTACATATACTAAATTAAAAGCTTTTAAGTAAACTACAAAAGTACCCAGTTTGCAGTCATCTCATACAAAGCAATAATACGGTGATAAAAACTGTTCAATATGCATGGAAGAGAAGACTATACCTACATATATAACTGGTCTGCCTTACTACTATTCTGTTGTGTTTTTACATTTTCCCTTGTACAAACTCTGAAAGACAACTGAGCAAAATGCTAAGATACTGTGCCTGTTACAATCTTTTTGGAAAGCTAGCTACAGAAAGTAGAGAGAACTGGGTACACACCTGAAAATCCTAAGCTAACAAATACCTTCATTTTGCAACATATTGCACAGGATTATGCTTTTCAGAGACAGCATATTTCAATCTCCAGTCTTGACAGTAAGATTTCTTCTGTTGAAGCGTAGCAAGAAAATAGTTTTCAACTGAACCAGTGGCAGAACAAGGAAGCAATTATTTGAGAAACAAACCCTAGATTCTCAACAGCAAATATCTGCCAATACTTGAAAAAATGAAGACAGGTATAAGGAACATCGCAGACTATTGGATTTAAAGAACCCATTTGGTATAACAAATGCATGCTGACTGTACCATTTACAGTCATACAATGGACAAGGAAACATTATTAGTCATGAGTGAGGGGAAAAAAAGCAATTAAACAATGGTCCGAAACAGAGATAGGCCTAGCAGGACTTAGTGAAGCCCAGCTAATTCAACACCATTTCTTTAGTCCAATGTCTCATAACTTACCTTCGCTTTTTCACTTGGTTCACTGGTTGTGCCATAGGGAGTGTTATGCAATTCCTTTGAGACCACACACAGAAATTCTGCCTGATCTTCATTGCCATAGTTATAGGAAGAACCAATACTGACCAGCTGAAAGAGTGGGGGGGAGGGGGAAAAAAAAGTCAACTGCATTTCCACATAAAACAAACTGTAAACTCTCATCATTAATACAAACACTCCTCATTCTTCAGACTGTTGGCTGCGCCTGAAGCATGATTCTCCACTTCAGTGCAAATACATTTGGATGCTGACAAATACACTGACACTTGGATGATAAGATAAACATAGTTTTTCTTTTTAAACCTTTACAGAACTAATGATTGAATGGTTATGACTGTTCTGTGACAGAAAAGGCTACAGAGGCAGGCCAGCGGAGAAGTAGCCTCTTCCTGTTTCTGTTATTTACTGGAAACCTTCCCACCCTCCAAAGTTGATTTCTAAAAAGTCTGTATGCTGTACCTCGATGTGGTGGGATTTAACATGTAAATGGCTGCATGCAGGAAGCACTTTAACCTGAAGGGATACCCACGACTTTACTTACAGATAACAGTACTTCTATTAAAACAGATTTTGAGGGTACAAAGACAAAATTTGCATTTGATCAGAAAACAGCAAGACACAGCATGGTGGGACACCAAGAATAACATCCGAAATTCGTATGTGCTGCTACAAGGAAGCTAATTAAGGAAGCACTACAAGCAGAAGCCATGTGTAATGTAATGTGACCTGTTTACAAGCTTCAAGTCTCGATTGGATGATAAATGACAATTTACTGAGCACAAAGGATAAACTCAGCACCAGTACTACTGTATATGCAATGCGTTTATCAAACGGCAGAAATTTCATGTAACTTGTCTTACCTCACACACAGTTGTGGAGTAACAGGGGAATTAGAGACACCCTTCCCATTCCCCAAATCCTCAAAGTTATGTGAGAGTATTAAAGAAATTTTAGGGTAAAATGCAGCTGCTACTCCTGGGATGGCATATGGTTGACATGCACAGGATCTACCTTATGGCAGTTCCCCAGGCAACCCTGTGACCTCAGCATATGCTGAGAGAAACTGAAGGGGACTGGAGTGGAGCAAAGGCCCTGCGGCCAGGCTCTGTTTTCCTCCCTACAGGTGTGGGAACGTGATGACACCATGTACTGATAAACTGCACAGCAGCTGCCAAACCAGCCTTGTAAAGTGAGAGAATTCATACCAAAGATGTGTGTGGCTTGGTGGATGAAGTTGCCAAGCCATTATCCATCATATCTGAGAAGTCGCTGCAGTTCCATCAAGTTCCTGCTGACTGGAAATGGGGAAATATAACCCCCATTTTTAAAAAGGGAAAAAAGGAAGACACAGGGAACTACAAGCTGGTCAGTCTCACCTCAGTGCCTTTACTTAGCTTGCCTCTTTTCCAAGCCAGAATACAGTCAGATGTAGCTGGTGCATTTCTTTTAAAGGTTTATTTCAAAAGCATGACGAAAGAATGTATGATGCTGTTACCGCTGACACAGATCAAAGTTCTAAAAATCAACCTGTTGCACAGATACACTGTATCTGAATGTCATTACCAAAACCTATTTAACCTACCAAATCACCCTACTCATGTGATGAGTGTCCTACTCCCCAGTATCCATTATATCATTAAAGTGCCCTGCTAATGGCCCCATAGAAAACGCTTGACTTGTTTTTTAGGACAACAGCACTTGAAACACTGTCATCATCTGTCTAAAAACAGACTGTGTACTTCCATTAGTAGTCTAGCAGAGCACCAGAGAGTAAAAGCCTTGTTAAAGGAGGGAAGATGCAGCATAGATGAAATCTTGGTCCAGAATCTGTACCTGAGGGATAAGATTATTCCTCCACCAAAAGTAGAAGGTAGACCTACGTTAAAACCAGCTCCCATGTAGCACTGCCAGGAGAAAATAAAGCCTCACTATATTTTTAAGGAGAGAGGAGAGAGATGTTCAGATGTGCCTGCACTTGGTAAGACAGCTAAGCAAGCACCTCCACAGACAGAGCCAACGTCTACAAAGAGCAGCAGGCAGTATGCCTGCACAGTGAACCAACTCAATGCCAGGCCTAGGTGATGTCAAATTTTTTGGACCCTGACAGCAGCATACAAGGCTCAGCCTTCAATGAACGGTACTGACAAGATTCAGCACTCTCAAACCACCTACTTTAACTACACTGTCTGGGTGTGATCACCAGAAACCTTTCCCTCCCTTCTCCACTCCTAACATCACTCTAGGTCTGCAAAATACATACATACTCGATAATGAACACAGGATGATCAAAAATGAATGTGCTAAAGAGATTTTTTCCAGAAAAAAACATGTAATGAAGTTACAAAACTCCATTTTTTTCTTTAGAAGCACCAATACATCCTCATTGGAATATAAGGGCACCATTTATCTTGAGACACTAAATCAGCTAATCTTCCACTCTGCAGTCCACACCTTAACATAGTTGTGTAATACAGAATCACAAAACCTATAAGGTAACTAGTTGCCTAGCTGGCCTAAGAAAGTCCACTGAAAAGATGGAAAATAAACCCAGATGTACTTCATACATAGAGATGTCTTGTTGCTTCTCTTCCCTATCAGCAAAAAATACCATGCATAGATTTTCAGGGGGGAAAAAAAAGCAGTTAAGATACATTGGCTCCAAGCCTGTTAAGTGTATCAAATTTATCCTATATATTACATAGCAATTACAAAAAATACAGTAAGTGCTTCAATTATTGAGGTAATATGTAGAAGTATCTTAAACAGTAATTTAAACTCATTTAAAGGCTAGGAAACACTAAAAAAGTTGGATACATGTTTAAGTGAAGCCACAGCTTCTCTGAAGAAAGATCTGAATAATAAAATTCAAGCATATGATTTGATTTAGTATAGCGTCAAGTTTTCTTCTTGCAAAATGGCAAGAACTTGGTATCAGGTAACTATGAAAGCTACGATAACAACTACCAGTAGGAAAAATGCTTCTTTACTCATTGATACTCGAACAAAATAAATGACCTCTCTGAAAGCAGATATGATACAAGATCCAAACACCAGCCAAATCATCAATACTTATTCAACAAGGTAGATACTAATATCCCACACTAATGCTTCATAATCCAAGTAAGTTGATTGATTGCACATAAGTCTGTTCAAGAGACGTGGCAGACTGACTAGTTACTAGCTATTGGACAGGATTATTGATTTAGCCAACTATAAAACATCTGGGTGACTTTTTGCCATTACTGATCAGTTGATGCACTTCAAGATAAAATTACTTTTGCAACATTAAAAATAAGTTCTTCAAGACTCCCAACACAATACTCTTGTAAGCAGCTCCATATGTGTGCAACCAAAAATTTATCGTCTGCCTTTATTATTTGCATTATTTTATCAGTAGCATGTCAGAAACTTCATCGTAGGTTTTTGAGAAACATCAGCAACAATATGGGTGATGGCAGAAAAAGAAACAACAGAAAATGATTGCAGATTAGAACTGAACTGTTGTGTTAGAAAGTATGATCAGAAATAAGGCAGTATTTTAGCATTTGCATTCCAAAAATCTCCCCCTTGTTCCCAGTGTTGGTGGCAACAGTTTAAGAAGGGTGCTGATAAAGTGAAGGCAACTGTTAAACTCCCCTAACCTGAGTCTGTCCAACCCTGCACTACCCACCCCACCAAAAAAACCAAAACCCACAATAAAACAGAGGAATCTGAGGCCAGTGAAACATGCATTACAATGCATAGCAAAAGGATTTCAGATTATCCAGCCTACTCTTTCTCAGACTTCCTAAAAAGACAAACTCTTTCTGTCTCATGGGACTTAAACAGAGAGATTTAATGACCAAGAACTTGAGGGAGAAAAAAAAAAGCTGAAACTGTGAATTTCATCATTTGTATAACTATAAATATGTATCATTTGTATAACTATATATATAGACACATATATCTTTTGTATAACTATATATACAGATGTATACATGCATGTACAGATTTTTCCTCCTTGTTTTATTCATTCCATGACTTGTTTCATTACACTCCTTACTAAAGTAGTATGATCCTACTTGAGCACCTCTGTGAGCCCCAGTATCACAGCAAGCAGAGGAAAATGCCAATGTTACTTATCACCTAAATTCAGTAGATCATGATTCATTCACTGTTTGCATAGAATAAGGGTGCTGACACTAGTAGAGACAGTTGCATGTAACTACCAAAAGGCAGGTAAGGAAAGCTTTTTTTGTTGTTGTTGCTTTTGTTGTTTATTATATTATTCCTATAATTGTTATCATTACTATTATTATAGTTCTTTGTATTCTATTGCTTGATGTGCCAGTACAGGTCAGGATTTTCCTGAAAAGATGAAGAAATAACAATAGGGACGCTCCTGTCTCATAAAGTCTGAACTTCTAAGTAAAATAAGAGATGATCATCAGAGAGGCAAAGTGAAAAATAAGAACAACTAATAGTTTGGCCTAAGAAAGGTGGACAGAGAGTACGTGGTGCCTTGCTACGGTCAGGCTTGTTTTCAAAGAGGAAAGGTTTAAGGACGATTTCAGGGACAATAAGGAAAAGTTCTTCAGACAGTGATTTCATAAGTCTGCAGCTCTGTGAGAGGATAACCATTTTTCAAAAAAGTCTACTTCAGAAAAACAGATGACAGAAGTGTTACAGCTGAGGCAATAGGTCAAATTAAGTTACTCAGCAGCAGCAAAACATTAATCTCTTTCTGTCCTGAAATAATGACTGTACAGCTAAAAAGATCCCCATGAATGGGCAAAATAGTTGGATCAGTTTTAGGAACCTTACTTTTGAAGTGAACAGTTCTCATGCCTAACTGAATTGAGGCAGCTCTCAAAACCAGACACATTTCAATAACTTGCCTCTACAGATTTTCTATACTGATTTAACAGTACTGATTCAGAATCTATACAGCACATTTAAAGGACAAATTAGCAATAGTATTACCTACCATCACAGACAATCACTCCAACTTGCACAAACAGCATATTTGTCTTCCTTTGTTTTGCACTGGAGTTACTCAAATTAACTAACTCTTCTACTTCATGACTACCAATTTCCTTCTCTTTCTGTGATGGTCTGATTTTCAAAACTGAGTAAATTTCATAACAATTATTCTCAAATTATATTTTAAATATTCTTGTACTTTGAATACTACTGCTTCTGTGTCAGGCATGATGAACTCCTGCCACACCAGAAAGCTTGGAAAGCTTGTCTTTTCAGGGTTTTTTTTTAGTTATACTAACAGTTGATAGAATGAAAGTCCTCCCCTCAACTTTTTGTTACAAAATAAAATTGTATGAATGTAAGAATGGCCTCTAAACCTTTTAGAGTTATAATGTGTTTGTTCTACTGCCTTCTCAAAGGACTTGCAAAGGGCTACAAAGATACATACACAGCAGGTGGTAAACTCAGCAATGATGACTGAGACCAGGACTGCAAACATATTTATTTCAGGTCCTTTAATGCAATTGTCAGACTTCAAATCTAGAAGGAAGGAAAATTAATCCTCTTCCTGATTTTTGCTGTTTGTTTTTGTTTAAAATCTCCCATTTTATTATGTTGAGATTTACTTGGACCTATCTAGGACATGAACACAGGAAATCACACCATGCTGCCTTGTATCCCAGGTATCTTTAACAATGAGCTGCATTTCCTAGTCAGTTCCAGAAAGTCTACAAACCAATGCAATAATTCTGCATTCCAAATGTTACTTATACAACAGCAAGAAACAGACAGTACTTGATACTTGAAATTTGGATTCTGGAATACAGCTAGGCAACAGTCCAGGTTTAAAATTTGTAATTGCATGGTTAAGTGCTCATGTAAACTCTTAAATAAGGTTCTGCTCATGTAAAGTCAGTTTACTGTCATGTTATTTTCATGGTGTTATACTGATCTTTCAGACTGAATAACCATATATACAGCAAGGAAAAGAAGCACTCCGAGTATTTTACTGATGGAAAATACTAGAGAACACTAGGTTCCCAAATCAATTCACAAAAGACACTTCAGAATGGAGCACAGCTACAGACAGAACTGGAAACTGCCTCTGGTGTTACTGGTTAGCAAAAAACCCTTCCCAAACTCCTGAACACTGGGAAGCAACATAGCAATTTAAAAGTCAGTGATCTGAGGTTGAAAGGAGCAGGAAGGATGAGACACCCTAAAAAGCCAGTGAGTGAAGCTACAATTTATTTGGGTAGCAATAAAATTTTCCCTGAAAAATTCCCCAAACAAATAAAACCAAACCAACAACAACAACAAAAAACCCCCAACCAAACAAACAAAAAACAACCAAACAAAAAAATCAAACTACAAAAAAATAAAAAAGCTAAACCCCAACCCACCCCCCAAAAAAACCCCAAACCAAAACCCAACAAACAAACAAACCCCAGAAAACCAAACCCCCAAAACCCAGGCTGTTCTTTCCATTTGAGACACGACTTAAACCTGCTGATTTTGTTCTCCTCTCACTCCTTATTTTACTTCTGAAAAAATCTGTTACTCATTGCCCCAGCTTTAACATATTTCACTCAGCTAAAAAAAGCAATTAAGCTTTGACTTACCAGAAATACAGCGTTCCAACTCAGAACTTAACTGGCTATTCAGTAGATGAAATATACCCAAACTGGAACAATGATTAACACAGAAATGTCCCTTTCTGAACCCAGTGAACTCAAAGCTTTATTTACAGGGCTCCTAATGTTTAAACTGTACTACTTTTACTTAACAAGTATGAATCAAAGGCTATTAACTTTGGAGGAAGATTTAAGGAAAAGAAGGTACCTACTGAGAAGGTAAGAACTCTTCTTAAGAAAACTTTTAACTAAATAACATGGGGGGAGGGATGGTGGTGGTGGTTGGTTGTATTTTTATTATTTTTACAATATGAACATTCATCATGTATCATGAAATACTGTGAATATAAATAAAAGCCAGTCACAAATACACACAAATTACTATGTGCTGTACATCCAGGAATAAAGTGGAATGATTTGAAAGCAGCAGAAACGCAAGGAGGCCAAGCATATCAGTGTGAGGGCAAAAAGAATGGTGTGACACACCTCACTGCAGCATTTCTGGAAGCATCTCTCTTCCCCTTTCACTTCCCGTGACACTATCAGCAGATACTCTGACTGCTGGGCCCGGCCACAGCTGTACTGGGAACCTATACTGACAAGCTGAAATAACCAATCAAAGCAAAACACAAAAAGAAACCTTTGTAAAGCTGAAGCACATACTGTTATCCAAATTGTACAAATAATAGATGAGCTCAAACGTTCAGGTAACATTAACTTGCCACTAGAACAAGTTGCTATCAAGCTACGATTTTCATTTAAACATACTTAAAATTTACGAAGGCAGCTGCAAAGCCCTTTGTAATTTCAAGGGAAGTTAAGAGTTACTGAAAGTAAATCAGAAAACTCACTGTGGTATAGCCAGCTACTCTGAAAACCATGAAGTTTGGTGCACTGTGAAAGTGAGCATTATTTTCCTGTCATACTTTCCAAGTGCAGAAGGTATTGTGGATATAAGACTGGAAGGTGTCATGTAAAGCAATATAACAAGCCTGGGTATGGAAGAACGTAATTGTGTTTCAGACGCTGGTAACCAAAATACAGCTAGGGAAACATATTAAGTCAACTAGAGGAAAAAAAAAAAAAGAAGAAGGGGTAATTTACAGAAGATCCAAGAAAATAACTGGAGTAAAAAAAATTGTCTCTCTCGTTCCCATAAATATCAGTACCAAAACCTCTGTTGACACTTGCCAAACATCTAAGAATTCAGAAGTTCAAAACATCAGCTGAATTTCTCAACTTGTTATCACAAAAAAATGTTTTATCTTAACAATACACAGCAATTCATAGCCATTTAAATTCAAGCACAGTCTGCCAGTGCACTTGAGAAAGATTAGTGTTTTAAATTAAGTGTGAAGAACTAGACAACTGCCTATTCTGAGTAGGGATTACTACTGATGAGAAGGCTCATGAACAGTAAATTTATTTTTATCCTGCTATTGTTATGTGAATAATTTTGAAGGCAGCAGCTAAATACTGTCCTCCTTACGCAGTGAACATATTTAAGACAGCATTACGGTGACAGACTCAGGTTACATTAATCATTAAAATTTACATGACTGACACACCACTGCTGTCTGAAGCCTTTGTGTGTAGCAATTTAGTACAGCCCAAAGTTTCTCATTATGCAGTACTGCCTAAACATGGTTTCTTTCTGATTGCCAGAAGTAACAACTGAAACTGAAAACCATCTACAAAATAACCCATTGGTATCACAAAGTGGGGCAGCAGAACTATTGGCAGTAGTTTTGGGGCTGGGACTGCTACATAATTGCAGCATTCTGGCAGCGCTTTCACTGGTATTCTTTGAAAAAGTGCACCAATACATCCACATAAATGTGCCAAAAGTTTAACACCTTCCACTCCTATTTAATCACCACATACAATCGTATTTTACAAGAAAACTTTGAAATGTCAAGGGGAATGAAACATTTTTGGTCAAAAGCAACCACTTAAACATGTTATAGAGGGGACAGAGCACAAGGACTCTCAACCTGTAGGAATATTACTCCTCTGAAAAAGCTGCTGATTTCTCTCCCACCAATAATACGTAAAAAACACAGTAGGTGCCACCTCAAAGACTGCTTCTGAAGGAAGCATGCTGCTGAGCAACACAGGTTTAGAAAAGGTAAAAAACTGCGGAAATCCTACAATGTTCTCAAATCTTAATAATAAAACTGTTTAGATTAGACAGAATACTCTGATCATGTTGCAAGGAATGAAGTCTGCTAAAAGCAGGTCTGCAATACAACCAAAGGAGAGAATGGTCTAATCAGAGGTAACCAGAAACTGAGCATTATGAGACTATATGGGTGTTACGTTTATGTACTTCAACCTATGTGCTCAAGAGAGGAGGAGGAAGCAGGGAGAAAGCTGGATGAAACAAGGACATAATGTTCAAGAAAACCGCTGGAAGTTTCCAGTTTTAAAAGAGCTTCTAAAATCCAGAAGAGATTATCATAGTTCTTTTAGCAGTTGCACTGTCACAGCAGGATTATTCCCAAATACAATATCCCCAAAGAATACAAGGCTTTAGGACAGGTAAAAGCCATAGTATCATTTAAACTGTTAAAAAAGTAAAGGATGTCTGCTATAAGGAAATCTGGTTTCTCATGCCAAAGTATATATATTAAAAAAACCCAACCAAACAAAAAAAAAAGTTGTAAATGCACTGAAGGGAAAAAAAAATAAAAATCATGTGCATCAAATGAGTTTTTTCAGGGACTTAAATCAGCTTCTGGCTCCTGGCAGACCAAACAGACCTTGTAATACTGGAGCCAGAGAACTGAAGCATAAGAAACGTTCTCATTGCTGGTTTAGATGATGTATCATGGCTGTGCACCACAACACCAGCACCTTGCACATTTCAACAAATATAAGCAAAATATTATTCTCTTTCACCTTTGCGTGCCATAAAAACGTTGCTTTGTTGCATTATTACAGTGAGACTGCACAGGGTAAAAGGCTTGTGCTTATTCCAATCTCTTGTAAGGCTGGCATCAGACACTGGAAAAGATGCTGGTGGCTGAGCACTTCTGTCTCACTCCAGAGGTAACAGCTTCAGTGCTCCAATAAGGTTTAAATAGTCTCATAGGTTAGGAATGTAAAGGATGAAGATGCCACATAGTTTCTTAATTACAAAGATTAGCAAAGATAACAGAAAGATCTTCTTGCAGTTTTACAACCTATTCTTGAATGTACACACAAAGCTACTTTTATGCAGTGCAAAGAACGAAAACATTCACGTAGTTCATACCTATCCAGCTTCACATCCATGCTGGTTAAATTCACCCTCTTATGTGTATCAGTCCTTTATCTGAAGAACCATTGTTCGGGCCTGACAAGCATTTACCTCCCAAACTTGTCTCTTTTACCCAGAGCTCCTCATATCTGATTCATATAAACTTGTATTAGTTCATTTTGGTTTATTCACCCTTCAAATGCTTGTGTGTAGACACTGAAGAATAACATTTCAAACATGATGTAGATGTTTTTGTAGCAAGTCAGCACAATTTACCTCCTGGAAAGCTAGTTTAGGTGGTTTGGGTTTTTTTCTCTGACAAATAAGAATACAAATATCAAATTTTAATTTAACTGTGTATATTTATCCAATTTCTGAAAATGACTGAACTTAGAAAGACGCATAGATTTGACTTTACACTCCTCTCTCACATAACTGCATTTTCAGAAGACTTTGTAATTATATCCCATATGGGTTTTTTACCTGTTCAAATTTCCAGCCATCAGACATTGTGGAAACCATTTGAGTGAGTTCCTCTTCCTGGCACTGCAGCACCCTGTACACATGTTTGACTGGCACCTTCAAGAAGAAATAAGATGCTCAGTACAGCATGGAATTCACTATGCTTGTGACTTGTCTAAAGTTGCCCTTACTCTCTAGAAATGGTAAGTAAAAAACACCACCTTGAACACCTTGTCCTTTTGGGGTTTGGGGATTTTTTTTGTTGTTGTTGTGTTTTGTTTAAGGAATCTCATCTGTTCAGAATCACTTTCCAGAAGACTCAATGCTTCATGAGTGTTTCAGAGACTAAAAGTGCTACTTAACAGAATAAAATAATCTTAAGACTTAGGTGTCACTCCATGTAGTAGTGAACCTCATCATTTAAAAAGAAGGTTGAGGTTCTGGAGAAACCTACCTAACTTTAAGGAATGTCTGACCATATTAAAAATGTCATTATTTCCCTGTGAAAGTTTCCCATTCAGAGCAATGAATAACTGGGGCCACTTCAGCTGAAACCCCTTAGAAAATATTTTGAACAATTCTTTAAAATGTTTTCGTGTTTTAAACAAGAACTGGAACCATATGCTGTGCCCTGTGTAAGCAGAATGGGAGATACTGGCAATGAAGAATATTAATCTTCTTCATGTAGCAGTGGCTCCAGCTCAGCCAGTGCCAGAGGCAGCCGCTTAGCATCCTGAAATGAGCAGTTAAGGGAAAAAATAAAAATGGAACACACCCACTATTTGCCACCGAACGAATAACCAAAACCACCCCAGAAAACAGCCTCACCTGTGAGATTTTGCTGTCTCTTTCTCTTATTTTGTCTTTTACCAGTTTTATTAGTGATGTGATATTGTAGAATTCAGCCTCTTCCAGTACACCTAGGGTGAGAACAGTTGTTGGAAAACAAGTGTAACCAAAGATCCCAGGCCAAACCCATTGATCAGTTCCTAACATTATATTCTCTACAGCTATAGAAATGATTTATGTTGCCCTATGAAAAGTTCATTTACTAATGTAACAATTCTGGATGCCTTCAGGTACATGCAGTTCAACACTGAGCTCATTCCAACAAACTGCCCTAAGAAAAACCCCAGAGAAAACATGCCATTCCACATACAGAATGAGAGGCAGGAAACAAACAAGAAAAAAGGCACACAAATAGCATGGGTAGCAGACTGATGGCCCACCACAGCTCAGGCCCTGCCTCAGGCCGGAACATGAAACAGAAATTCAATTTGTCCTACTGGAAAGCTCTGCAGTTTGCAGAAAAAATTTCTTTCTGTCACAGAAACAAAAGCTTGAATGTACCTACAGCTCCCACTCCCATGTTCAAGCCTTACTTGTTCTCTGCACATACTATGTGTTTAACAGTGCACTCGGAAACCGCATTTCACATTATTTCCCGCTACTATTGTTAGACTGTATTTCATTTTGATCAATTTCTTCAACACCTTATCAATACAGTTTTAGTACTATGGTCTAAAAGAGTCATCCCCCATCAGGGCAAAACTGGTATGAATTTGGGTCAGGCAGAGAGAATCTGGTGGCAGATTTTACTCCTCAAGAGCTTATTCCACACATCCGAACATCCCAGAATTTCACTATTACTTCATTTTACATCTTCTAAAACTTGTTTCACAGCCAGTATTCTTGTGCTTGAAGAGGACTAAACCCAAATATTTCACACAGTCATACAGGAAAGAGACAGGATTATAGATCAAAAGGCATCTGCCCTCATGTTCGTGTATTTATGTTCTAACTGGCGACCGGGGTTATGAAATCAGGAATCATGCTCAAACCACTCAAACACTACCATATACTGTAACTGCATGATACCCATCAGCTTTGCTTGCAACAGATTGAAATGTCACACTGATTAAGATGCACCTGTAAATTACTTTTGGTGACTCAGAAATGGTGAAAATAATAAGCAAGAGATCTAGTAACATCTTACCTTCCTCAGCTAGGTCCTTGTTAATAACCAGTTTCCCATGTCTGAGATAGTTCAGCACTGGCCCAAAGTAGGTTGGGTCTCTGTCTATTAAATAGGCACCTGTTTCATCCTAGAGTAGAAAAACAAAACAAAACAAACAAACCAACCAAAGAAACAAAAGAACCCAAACCCACACACAACCTCCCAACAAACAAACACAAAAGCCAAAAAAACCCAGAATGACTTGAACAACCAAGCAGGAACTGAAGCTAATATTCAGCTTGGTATCTGAATAGCAAGCAGATATTCACAGCCACATCCCTTAAAGCCAACTTTATTAAAGACATTAAAAGGAATTCCACAATGTTGTAATTGTGTCAGACTGGCCACGCAACTCAATCATGTACTATACAACTTCTCTTGCCTGATCTATTCCTATATCTATTTCCTATACCCTTATCAAAAGATTATCAACGCTGTTAGCATGAAACGTTTAAATGGTGAGAATACCAAAAATTAAGTGTAAAAAGAACAGCTTAAACCAGGAAACTGTCTTTTTTAGTCGGAAACCTGAAGGCTCAGAACAAAGGCTGCATTACGGCCAAGTCTGGATACCAGCTTTTGTTTGTTCGTTGTTTCTGAAATTAAAGGCAAACAAACCTACCTTCACTTGAACCTCAACACTTTGTTTTAAACCTCAACACTTTGTTTTAAAAATATGCCATTTTGTCTTAGCTCAGATGTACAAATACTCACAGGACACTGAGAACAGCTGCGTACCAAGGGTTCTATGTGCATACAGGTATAACCCAAAGAAATTAGCTAACAACTGCAAGGATTATAAAATGAAAAGTATTATTTAATACAGGAACAGAAACCAGTGAAGTTGGAAAGGAACATCTAAAACTGATTAAAAAAACCCACTGTTTTAAAGAGAAAAGCAGAGTCTTCAGTCACCAGTTGAACTGAATTAAGAAATATATAGGCTTCCAAAACTGGAAATCACTTCAGCTAAGAGAGGTAAGTTAGAAACAAGCTTCAGTAAAATTACTGTAATCTTTTACACTACAGTGTTTTCTCACACGACCCTCTGAAGCAACACTGACCACCAGCTCTACACAATTACAGACACAAGTGAGTCACAGAAGCAAATTAACTGAAAGCGCAAAATGAACTGGCTGCTCATGGCCTGGATGGGTGGACTCTTTGCTGGGTTAAAAACTGGCTGGATGGCAGGGTCCAAAGCATTGTGGTAAATGGTGTCACATCTACTTGGCAACCAGTCACTAGCTGTGTCCCCCAGGGCTCCCTGTTAGGGCCAGTGCTGTTTCATATTTTCATTAATGATTTAGATGAGCAGATTGAGTGCACCTTCAGTGAATTTGCAGATGACAGCAAGTTGGGGGGGAGTGTTGAGCTGCTGGAGTTCTCAAATAGTTAAGACTATTCTCAAATAGTCTTAAATGCAAAGATGCATGTGACATTGTGAAACATACTAGAGTCAGAGAATAAGCCTCACTAGCTCATTCCATGCAACACTGGTTTTTCTGGGGGTGTGCTAAGGTTAATCTTTTTTCTGTCGCAACTGGAAAGATATCTGATACCAAGAAATAGGCTGCATGAACTTGTTCAACATTAGCACCTGAAGCTAATCTGAAGGTGAACATGCTGCTATTCCTGAAGCCTTCAAATTCTTTTTAATAACAAGTATTAAGAAAATCTTATTATTTATATAGTTAAGTAAGAAACGTGTTTGTGTGGAAATTACAGAACAGGAAGATAGCTATATATGCAACTGATATTTGTAAAGTACAACCTAGAAACTATTTCATTTTCCTATTCTCATTTCTAATAAACTCATCCAGTTAATTTCTTGCAGAACTTCCTAATGTACCAATATGGACAACTATGATATGCCTCACTTGTCAAGTTCAGGCAGAAACAGCTCTATTATTAGGTTTTGGGTTTGCTTATGGGTCTGTTCTCATCTGACATACGTTTTTCTTATGGCTTCAATTTCTAAAGATTCTGGTTTGGCAATAAGGCAAAGCAAGAAAGAATGGGAACTAAGCCTCTTTCTTCAAAGGCATATATTTACTGGTGTACAAGCTGACTTCATTATTGGCTCTTCTCCTCGGTCTTGCATCTAGATGCGCGATCTGCCTCCCTCCCATTTGTCAGTGGGGACAATGCTAGAGCTTTCCAAAAGCTGCTTTAACTCACTGAAGTTTTTAAAAACACACACCTCTCCTTCATTTTTGCTGAGTTACACACTCATCAAATGGAGCACGATCAGAGAATATGAAATGTGTCTGTCAACTAGAAAGCATGTTTTGTACTATGAGCACAATTCGGTATTAATGCATTGAAAAGACATCTAAAACTTCCCAAAGTGAGTTACTGAAGCACATCCCTGACAAATTCCCCATACAGGAACACAATATACCTTGTTGAGACCAGATTTTTCATAGTTCTTTCAAACAGGGGGCTGTGGCTATCAGTTTTCACAACCTCCTCTGCTGGCTCATCCCTCAGGATTCTCCCCACCCCACCTCCCCCACATCCTCCTCTAGAGGTAGGGACAAGTACGTCTGGGATGGCTGTAGCAAACATGAGTTCCAATATGCATTCTCTCTCACTTTAAGGTTTAAAATTATGAGGTGTTTAAAACCCACGTGATTTTCAGGAAGAAAAAACAAAGGAATCAAACTCAGGGAATTATAGGTCAAAGACCAGCTCTAATGCCCCAAGCTTTATGAGGACAGTATCTATCAGCTGCACCTCGTGTAAGAACTGTTTTATGAACACAAACTCATATTGCATAGCAGTCACTGTAAATAATCTTTACCTCATGATTAATGTCAACTTAGTATCAGGTTACAGTTCAAAATGGGACTCCAAAAAGTAAACCACAAGGGGAAAAAAATTATTACTATCACATTTTGATTTACATGTACGTGGCAAAGGAGTCCAGGATGGTAACACCAATACCACCAATTATTCCCTTGAAATATCTGTGCTCATCAGTAAAAGGCATCTGATATTTCAAAATTAAAGCATGCAGACAATCTGTCGATGTGCCTCTGCATCAGATGATATGTTCACAAGCTGGTGAGATGTCAGGGAAAGATTTTTTTCTCTTGGAAAGGTCACCTATGATATCTGTTACCACTCAGACGACAAAAAAAGGAACTGATTGGATTATGTTTTGCTGTTTACAGATGATGAATCTAAAGATTCTGAATCAGATCCTTGGAAGAAAGGCTGTCTGTGGTTAGGTTACCTTAGCTACTGTAAGTAATACGCTGCAATGGGTAATCTAAGAGGCATGCCACTTCTGCAAAATCCAAGATAACAGGTGACGGCAGAACCCAGGCTCTGAATGCTTGAAGTCAAAATCAATGACTACAGATGGTCAAGAACAAGACGACATGAAACTGACAAATGCTGTACTGAAAAGATGACCTTAGTGCATATTTAACAAGGAAAGGCTTTGCTTTTCATACATCAAATTGAAGACATCCAGGTTCATAAGCCTAGAGAATGCATCTCTGAATAACAGGATTTTATCTAAATCCATTTTTCTACAACAATTTGTAGTTCTCTCTCTGTGTGTTGCTTGCCTCACGTTACTGATTTGCACAATAATCCATTCAAGGTAACTACACCACCTACAGTTTTGCAAGAAAGGCTACTGACAATGATGGGACAATGCAATTTGTTTGCACTTTGCTACAGCAGTTTCCATTAGACCTCTATACTAGCAATAAAGGATGATGCTTTGTAATGCCTAGGCAGCTCAAGTAATGTATGAGCATGCTCCTAGTAAGCAAAGGTTACCTTTCTATAGCTGTGACTGCGGGTAGCTTTATATTGCCATGTACGCTGTGACATCTGTAACTACCCAAGTCTAGAAACATGAAAAAAAATGAGGTCTCTTCCGCATCCTACAAAATAGCTAAATAACCTTAGCATAAACTTGTGATTTGCTGCCAGAACCCCACACATAAGCACAGTAAAAACGTTTAGATTAGTAGCCTCAGGGAATTTTTGCAAGATACAACACCTCCCTGATGGTGCTTGCGAGGACGGCGAATTTCTTCAACCAGTGAAAACAAATGGTGAAAAAAAAGAAAAAGCCAATTGCTTTAATTAGAACTAAAGTCTAAAAATACACCTCTCTACCACACTGAGAGCAAATAAGCACCCTTTCGCAGCGGAACACCTGAAACAAGTGCCTTAATAATTAAAAGTGCCTTATCTTTTATTTACGAAACATTACAAGAAAACTTTCTCACTCCGTCCCAAGTAAAGACCATTTCTGACCTATCAGCAAGCCACCTGCATTTAAAAACACATTCTTATAGGCCAGCCGAAGCTAGTCCTGTCCAAAAACAGACCCAACCCAAACCAAAGACAACAATACCCAATCCCCACACCACCACACTTTGAGGTGTTTTTCTCTAACTCTGGGACACTGTTCGTGTTCTGTTCCCTATCTTCCTCAGCATTTAAATCTCCTTTCTGGAAGTTATGCAGGAGTCTCACTGGGAAATAAAAAACAAAAACAAACTGATACGTAAAAATCAACTCCTTATTTTTAAACTACTGGTTATATATTATGTACCATTCCCTTCTTTTCCATACTGGAAGTCCATTTTTGCCCATTACGCTCCAAAATCTCTTTCAGAGACAGCACTATCTGATTATGTTATATCCATTATTACATGCTACTCCATAAATAAAATCATAATCAGGAACTTGTCTTCCCCTACTAAAAATGAGTCAGAATGGATACCCGGATTCGGTATCACCCACCACTGCAGTCCACGCAGAATAAGTAACATTCCTCCCTAAGAACTGCGAAGCACCGAATGTGATGGATAAGTAAGAGAGGCTATTATCAAAAGTACTTTGATCTGGTTCTTGAAACTGGAGGAGTAATGACAGTGCAGAAATAACATCAGTGCAGGCAGACTCCATTTAAACGCTAAAGCTAAACCCTATCAGACAACATGAAAATTTAAACAAACACATGAGCGATCCTGCGCTGCCTCTGTTGTATTTATAAGCAGTTGTCACCCATGAACCACACCGCTTTGCAGGAAATCCGCCCGCCCTCACCCCCGGAGCTGAACTCCCGTCAAGTGCAGGGGCTCGCTCAGCAGCGCGGCCCTGCACAAACTGCCCCTGGCCAAGGCGCCCGCCGCTGCCGAGCCCGCGCTGCCGCCGATCCGCCTCAGCGCCCGCGGGAACGCGGCCCCGGCTCCCAGGCACTCACCTTATCCGAGTCCAGGTCGGGGTCGGCCTGGCAAAGGCGGAAGAGGAAGGACTTGGGGTCCCTGCAGAGCGTCTGCCGAGTGGTCAGGAAGCAGGTGCCCCCCACGTTCAGCCGCACCCACTTGCCCGGCACCGCGCCGGGCGGCGGCGCTGAGCTGCACCGGCGGCAGGGCCCGCCCGGACCTCCCAGCCCGAGGCCGCCGACCGGGGGAACGGGGAAATCACAGTGGTTCTCCGCCGCCATCCTCGCCGCCGCCGGAAGGGCCTGCCCCAACCACAGGTCCCCGAGCGCACCTCCCCCGGAAGCGTCCCTTAGCTCGTCACGGCCCGCGCCTGCGCCAGAGAGGGCTCGTCCGCCGGGGCCGCCCGCGACGCCCCGGCACGAGAGCGCCGCCACTGGGCCGGAGGTATAACCTCCCTCCCCGCCCCAGCCCCCCGCGAAAGGAAGAGGCGAGGCCGCGCCGGGACCCTACATGCCTTTATTACAGACTACCAAGCGTAAGTGAAATCCATCATCCAGTCACTAACTACACATCTACAGCACAGAGATCTGTCGAGAGGAGAATAAACAGTCATTAAATTATGAGATATGATTAAATCATCGACCAATAGAAAATTTATACAATAAAGCCAGAAAAAGGTGTAAAATATAGTTTACAATAATTATTCACATTCAAGGCTGTACATCAATACATACAACACCATGGCCCCGAACATGAATTCAATCCAAATAATTCATATATTAGAATTTAAATAACACAGACTGAACTAGAGGCCAACAAGAGCCAGCAAATAACCTTATAAGAATAAAAATACAAAAGTGTTTCTCTTATATCATTGCATTATTTGCTTCTGTTTTCACGAGAGTTCTTGGAGGAGGGGAGATTGTTTTGTGGTGCCTGGTGAGGGGGGTGGGGGTGGCTGGAGGGGGTGCTTGGGCTTTGTTTTCTTTTGTTGTTGTTGGTTTTGTGGGGCTTTTGGCTTCCCCCCTCCCCATTTTTTTTCTTTTATCTGTACATCACAGTTACAGCTACAAACCAGGTAGAGAATATCACACACGTAACTGACTGCCACCAACCTGAAAACAGCTAGCATACAACTATTAAAACTGATTATGGTTCCTGCTTCCTATTTTTTTTTTCCTCCTTTGTCAGATACAGTAATTGTAAGTTCTGCCACAATTTAGCAATTTGCCACATCCAATCAGTGTTATAGTACATGGTCATAGGAAGCTTTGCCAAACAGCAACCTGTGAATCTACATTCACTGCCATGCTGACAGACAGACCAGGTCAACAGGTGCTTAAGAACCTCTCCAATTGTTTGCTGTACAGAAGTTGTATTTCTTCTACGAAAGAGGAAACTTTGCTAAATGACCAGGCTTACTGGAAAGCGTGCTATTTTGGATCAGAGAATTACCTGTCTGTAAGCTCCCTTGATCAGCTGATGGACAATCTGTGTCATGAAGCTTTGCAGGATCACTTCCATTTGACTAGTATTTGCATAAAATATTAGAGTAATTCAGCAAAATTTCAGGTATAAATACCACACCTATTCATGTAATTCACTAGGAGAAAGTGAAAATGAAGTAATAGTGCTGACTTTTCTAAATCATTCAAAAGAAGCTATTAAATGTACAAGTGGGAAATCCTCAAGATTCTTCAAAGTTCCCATCACAAAATGTAGTGATATCAAGCACATTAAATTAAGCATCTCGAACTATGAAAATGCATTACAGTTATCATCTTTGTTTCAACTTAAGTTATTTTGTAGGCTTATATATAGCAGATACTTCACAACTAAATCGCATCAGAAGGTGAACAGTGGAGCACAGTACTATCCGATAAACTGATGCCTTCATCATCCCAGTGCTTAGCAAACAAGATCTTAATAGGCAATATCAGTCTGCTCACAATGCCTCAACATCACACTTGAAGCGAGTCTTCCTTAATACAAACCCTTCTCAAAACTGGACTTTTAAGGCCAGTGGTAATAACTCATCTTTCCAGTTTATCAAAGTGGTTTTAAACTTCCTGTGACTGGGCTGGACACTAAGGATAACAGTGTGATTCAAAAATCCTTTCTAGCAGTAGTACTTCACCCTTTCTTTAGTTCCACCCCACAGAAAACAGATGCAATAAACACCTTCCTGAAGTTCAAATTCCAAGCAAAATAAAATAGCAATATTACTGAAGAGATTCTTTATAAATGATTGGAAAATGTTGAAAACATAAAAGATGGAATCAACCAGATTGGGTTTTTCGCATTAAGTAGTCCAAGAAGGGTCTCTAAGTGCCTAACAACCCTTTTTGTGCTTTGAAAGATCTCAGACAAAGAACAGAGAAATTAACTGGCTCATCTGCAGCTTGGAGAACCTTCCTTGTACATTTCATTCCATGAACTCCCATGAACCACAGGAGTGGTCCTCAGGACAAACATCTGAAGCTACCCCACTTCAGGTACAAGCATTTAAAACAGGAACCAGCCCTTCATTGTAAGCAGCACCTGTCAACACATCTTTAAGTGGACAAAGTGGTGAAAAATACTTAAATCCACATGATTTCTTTGTCTTGCCTCATTATTCTTCTGCCATCTTTCAAAACCACAGATTTCACTTAGAATCCAAGAAAGACAAATACCTCTCCCAGAAAAGTTCTAGTACCTTTCCAAAAAAGCAGCAGCTAAGGAAGATTTGATTTGGAACACTTTAGTTCTAAGGGGGAGGGATGCCTATAAGAGATGCTCATAGTTTCCCAATGACAGCATTAGCAAAAAAAAAAAGGAATACTAGAACACAGATATCAGCCTTCCAGACACGTTCTTGACAGCTTACTGCTATCAAGATTTCTCTGGCTGAAAGCTTTTGATGGGCAGGACAGAAGTCTGAGAGAGGATTTTCAAGGTGTGAAAAAGCAGAGTGGCTATTTTATGGCAAAATGACTATAAGTCTAAATATTACAGAAAAGATGTTTTAGCATTCCTAGATTTCCACCTAGTGAACAAGCCAATGGAGATCACTCCACCTCTTACCGAAGCCACGGTACTCACTATTAGCAGAACGACTTTGCCAGACTTTTTATGTGGGGCCAGGTTTTGTCATAGCAAAACAGCAGTGGCACCGTGAATTTCCAGCTCTGCCACATTCTCCTGTATAAAGCTGAGAAGACATTTACATCTCCATACCAAAGACTAAACCAAGAGCAGTAGGGTAGCCTCCAGTGGACCCAACGTAAAAATGGAGCCTGACAGCCAGAGAGCAAATGCAACAAACTCACAATTCATGTCATCTTGGTTACAATGGTCCATATAGGATTAACACAGGCACAGACAGAAGTGCTGTGCTATCTGAATTTTAGCAACAAGGATTGTACCCTGTATATGATGAAATTTCTGATGATGCAGATGGAACAGAATTCTTGCTCATCTCAGCCATTTACAGGACACCTCAGCTCCCTTAATACCAGGCACTGCAGGCCAGTGATGTACTTTCATCAAATCTGCATACATAGGGGGATAACAGAAGACTACAAGAATGCATTTTCTTCAAAAGAAAAGGCAAATGCACTCCCTCCTTTAAAGAATGAAAGATATTGAAAAAGCTGAACTGTCATTAAGTTCAAACACATAACAGTTTGAGACAAATAATAAATCTCCTTTACCCCGTGCAACAACAAAATATCCAACGTTCATGTCTTCTCTGAGAAATCCTGATAAACCACTGCTTTTAAAATACTGCTTCTAGAACAGCAGCCCATGAGTTTTTCCAACATTGCAGTGGAACATTTTTTCTTTGGTGGAAGGAAGAACACCATCGTAAGAGACCTCAAAATGCAAAGAGACAGTATGTGTAGAAGAAGAATAAATAGGTGTGATGCTTATACTGCTTTTTAAAAAAAGGAAGGAATGCCTTTGTCCAGACCTAGGTCATTCCTCTCTGCAAGGTTCAGGAACACAGGCATGTCGAAAACGCCATTAGGGAAGTTGTTTCCAGCACATAGAAAGTTATGTCTTTGCAACATTACAGGAAATGTTTGACCACAAAAAAACCCTTAATTTGAAGAGGATAAAGAGGATCGATATGCAAAATAATTTAATTTTATAGATATGCCTTAAGTACCATATATTTTCCCCTTTGCATCAATATTTTCCTTTGAATTTTTAACCGGATTATTAAATGGATCTAATATTTCAATTGCTTATATTTTTTTCAGAGTCGCTAAATACTTGGCTAAGGACCAAAAATAGTATTATTTGTACATCTCATTACACAATGAGACAAAAAAAGTCAAGTAATCAATTGTACAATGCTTTCACACATCCTTCTCTACCCAGGTAAATAGGGTGGCCCCACTAAAATGCACAGTACATGCACACCGTGGAAAGAAAGCGTCTAGCCCTTACCTCCTGAAAAGGTGAAAAACTATTTACTACTTCAATAGCAACCCTCACCCCCCCAATACTAACTAGTTAATCTTTCAGTTAGCATTAGTTGAAAGCATGCTGGTAAGTTTGTTTTCCCTTGATTAAACACATGATTCATATTAAAATTTAAATTTAATCTTTAAAATCTTCTATGCTTCAGACGCCAACATTTCAATTTTAGAAAACTCCCAGTGTCATGTTCAGCATTTTACTCTCTTAAAACCTGTATCATTGGAGCCTGTCTGCCAGGCACATACATCTGATTCATTCACATAATTACTGAAGTACCACGTAAATCCTGCAACCAGAACTATGTTAGGAATTACACAAGGGTGCAACTGACCTGGCTACAAATGCCATATACCAATAAGCTGGGGGACTGTGAGGAAAGGAAGAGAAAACAAAGAGGTGGTGCTTAGGAGAGGCATATAAAAGCTCCCTGATGAAATACAGTTTAATGATAATCTGAAAGTCACAGACAACTCCAGCCCCATAAAACGCAAGGCTGGTACATGATTCGGCATGTGTGCGTGTGGATTGGTTTTAACTCATCTTAAGTGAAGCTGGAATGCAAGGTCTATCCACTAGTCTGCAGCAGAAGTTGAGCTGAAGTGCACAAAAGCAAGATCTTCACTGCAATGATATGCATGTGGAAGCCTCAACAGAAGCACAATGAGCAAGCAAAGTGACCCTGAATTCCATTAGGTTTTTGCTTTTCTTTTTTTCTTAAAAAAACAAAACAAAACACAACCAAAAACAACAACAAAAAGAAAAAGAAAAGAAAAAATCAAAAACCCAAACAAGAACCAAAACGAAAAAAAGAAAAAAAAACACCCACACACACAAAAAAAAACCAAACCCAAAAACAAACCAACCAAACCCAAACCCAACAACCAACCAACCAACCAAAACAAAACCCGAAAGCAGAACATTTCAGACATATGCTTCCCCTTGAGATGGTAATAGGTGGGTTGAAAAGATTCCTCTGATCGGCTGCACATGGAGTTCTAGCAGCAAGTAGGGAAACTGGGAAGTTTTGGATAAGCTTTACTATTTAGCAGCATTCTGGTGGTATCTGTGCCGCCAAACTTCATGTATCTTTTTGCACCATTTATGAGCATTCCCACTCGGGTCCATCAGGTAGTACGTCCTGTTTGGCTATAAGTGAACAACATTGTAATGAGTACTCCAAATATAGTTTAACCAAAAAAGCAGTAATTACTCTGCATCTATCAATGAAATAATCACTCAGAATCAACTAATAAACTTTCCCAGAGCTAATTCAATTAGTTATATAATATTCTATATTACTGAATAACAATACATCTGGCATCTCAATATTGTTAAGAAGTCAACAGCCAATATGTTGTTGGTACACTCCTGACGAACCATTGTATAAAAAAAGGGCTAAATTTTAAGTATTTCTTTAAAACCTCCTTCAAATCCCCAAACCCACTTATAGTCTATTTACACATGAATAATAAAACATGCATTTCTGTGGGAAATGGGTACACTGGGCGGTTGCTGTTTGCTTGGTTTGTTTTGCCTTTGGGGGGATGGAGCCTGTGCCTTTTTTTTGTTCTAAATTAAGACTATCAACACTTGTGTTTAAGGAATTCTATTTTCTCCAGAAAAAACTGCTCCTTAACAACTTACAAGACTTGTCCAAGGACCTCAGTGCAACTTTCAAAGACATGAAAGAAAGTCACTTACCGTGTGAACAAAAAAGGTCTTAAAATTCTTAGCTTCTGGCCGCAACTCTAAAGACCATGGAATTTCTCCTTTTAGAACCTTGTTGACAGGATCCACATAATACAAGTGGGGCCCTTCTGTGAGCAGCAACTGGCGCCGTCGTGCAAACAATCCCTAACAAGAAAAGCAGCAGCAGCAATGCAAAAAAGGTGTGAAGGGAAAAAAAAAAAACAAAACCAACAAAAAAGTGTAGATACCTGAATTTAACAACAGATAGAATTAAAAGAGTTCAGTGATAGGACTGTACATTTGTGTTTGAGGAACCTTTGTTTTCCTTTTGCTTTACCTATTTGACCCCACCCCTTGTTTAGGGCTTGCAGTACATCCCTACTACATGGCAAAACGTAAGTACAATTTTCAGAAAGCATCTTCAAGTTCTAACATAAAACAACTACCTGTGCAGAGTGAAGCAAAACCTACTTGTCAAAGATTCCAGCACGGAAATCAATGTTCACGATTTTGTGGAGAAAATTAGGAATAAGCAGGTAGTAATTTAGATGAAAGACAGGCTACAATCCTGTAAAGCTGATGCAGACTATCGCTGTTCATCTATATCATGTTAAAGTTAATACTTATAAGTTTTCCTAACATCACCTCTGCTTATCTCAGGATACAGGTACTAGTCATATCCAGAAAAAATACCACAGTTAAGGTCAATATGGGCTTGTATTCTATTTTCTAATCTTTGTAGCTTGATCCACATGCAGATACATATCAATACAAAGTCTTTATGGACTGTATCAGACTGGGAAGGGAGGACAACAACTCCTTCACTACAGTCTCAAAATGAAAGTATCAATAGCACACTTTTAGCCTTTTCCAAAACTAAAGAACACACCACTAAATCAAGAAGAAACAATCTATTCACAGTCCTAGATTTAAAACACAAACAAAACACTCAGATACTTACAAATAAGTTAAACAAGGAAGCTCAGAAACCTGTTCCTTATCTATGTGCAACTGTGCAAATACACAACGGCTGAATCTTGTTACAGGAAATTAAGGGAAGCAAGCCCTTACCTTTCTTTTGTCCACTGGACCCATTTTTAGGATTAAATTATTCTCTACAAACTGATGCCTAAAAAAAATAAATAAATAAATAAAAAATTTAAAGAATGGAAATAACCTGTTACTCCTGAAAGAATTCTTCTACAGAAGCAGCTTTTATTATTACTATTATTTTCATGCAATTCTTCATGTCTCTCCCTATGGTCTCCTTTTCCAGCAAGGAGTCCTGAACAGCTTTACTAGATGAGTTTTGAACTCTTCCTCATTCCAACCCAAAAAAGGTTTTTCTAAACTCTGATGTGGGGTGGGTGGGGGAAATCACAAATGAGAAGCTCCTCTCAAGAGTGAAGAGAAACACTAATAATTACATGATTTGGAGGTATTTTGCTTAGGTATTGACAGAATATTATCACTAAAAATAAATCACTGATGGCAATGTTAAGAAGGAAGGACCTTTTCTAGTTCTAGGCCTCTGTAGAGGGAAGGCTTTTCTAGTATAGTGCCATTTCTGCCTATCCTATAAACATACTTGACACCTCTAGACTTTGTAAATTTTAGAAACATAACATCAGGTTTTTGCTGCTGTTGCTTTAAAACCAGAAGTCAATAAAATATAATTACTAATAGTTTGCTTGAAGGCATTAAGATTTACAAAGTTATTTTTTTCTGGATTCCTTACTGCTGTGCAAGTAACAGATGAGTCGTATTCAAAGATCTTACCAAGGATTTCCACCAGCTTGTTTTGCTAGAAGTAACCTCTTTTCATCTTCAGAAAACTGTAAGTCCAGCTCAAAGGAATTGTTGTCAAGATCATGAATGTACTGTTCAATGTTTCCTCCTGACGTCTGTGGTGTACTTGTCTCTGGGACAGACAGTGAATGGGAAGAGGCAGAACCAGAAACTTGCATGCAACCAAACTGACTCAGGAGATTGTCATACTAAAGGAGGAAACAAAATGAAGTAAAGGAATTTCTTTGATTAAACAGCTTATTTTGCACTAAACTGCACCCTGTAATTTAAGCATGCTTCTGTTTTTCATCGACAAAAAGACAGCCTGCTCTCTACAAATGAACAAGATTAACTCATCCAAAAAAATGTATGCTTGGTCAAGAGCAAGCCAAGCAGTATTTTTTTCAAACACTAACTTCATCAGGGGAAAAAAAACCCAAACCACTGTAACCATCAATTTTATATTATTAATAACTGAGTTTTCATTAAAATATAAGTAGTTTCAATAAAATATTTAAGATGCAATGATTATACTTTACTTAAAGTCTCAGGCAGCATCAGAGCTGAAAACAGCAATAGGCAAACATACATTTCCGTAACAGTCTTCATCATCCTCTGACATAGCAGGTAAATATGCTGTAAGTTTTGGGGGTGTCTGAAGATGCAGATTCTCCCACACAATAGATTCAAAGAAGGGATGAGCCTTAAGAGGTCCATATCCTCCCATTTCTTCACAACCTAATCTGTTGGTGGCGTCTAGAACCTGAGCAAATTACACTTAAGTTAAAATAATGACAAGGAAGGGGCGAGCACCATTTACATTTGCACAGCAGCATGCAAAATCTTAAAACCAGTTGGTCATAAACATACATCACTAGAATATGAGGAGACTGCTTACAATAAGTTATTTATCAGTATGCCTTGTAGTAACATTTTGTATTAGACCAGTTCACGGATCTAAAGAAAGAAGCACCTCTTTTGAGTCCACACAATTTTTTGGCTTCGTTTCTTCATAAAGTCCTGATGGAGCACAGCTCATTTAAATATAGCCCAGCATCACATTCCAGCGATGCAAGCAGCTATGGGAGTTATGGTTGGTGTCGAACACCAACATCTCAAGCACTTTGCACGTTTCTCAGGATGTTGATGCAACCTGGACCTTACCCTGTAGCATGCACTGTCTCAGTTATAAAGCTGGCCTGGAGAGAGGAACATGCTGCTAGATCCTTTACAATGATTATCATCCAGAGACATAAGAGTTTCCTCCTGCACCATGATAATACACTAGACTACTGAACTTCAGAAAACTTATACCACCCAAAATGTTCTCTGCATATTCATTTCAGCATTATGGGTGTATCTCACTAATGAGATAGAACTATTTTTTTCTTCCTGCCTGTCAAATATACCCAAGCAGAGTAATTCTTTGACTCATACTATTGAGACATGCATTAAGTGCAAGGTAAGTCCCTAATAAATTGCAAGGTAAGTACGTGTACATTGTAATGAATATATCTCCCTGTAATGTATAGAAAACTCATTATACAACTCAACAATTAACCTGAGTACCATCTAAGTATTTGAATTTTAACTTCTGTGTTAAGAGCCATTTACTTGAATTTCACTGAGAGGCATTCCTTATCCACGCTTTAGAATTCAGATTCAAAATAATTAAGCACTGTTTACCAACGGATGCTGATTTTCCAGACACTCGCCTATGCACTCAATAATGCCCACACTCTTTCTTATTACAGGGTTTGCAACAGAGTGCATAAAACTTTAGGAAAAAAGAACTACATAAGCTGATTACATTTCAATGTAAACAAATCATTTAACAGCAGCAAATATTTACCAATAGCTTTTCAACAAGGTCTTTTGCCTTGGGAAAAAATTTTTCTGGAAAGTCATATTCCAACTTTATTATCTTCTGGAATATAAGATACTCATTTCTGCAAAAGAGAAAAATATTAGTTCTTGTTATTAGTTCTCCATGGTTCTTTCACCTTAATAGTGCGTAACCTGGACAAATATTAAACTGGAGATCTACAGGTTAAGTCACATTCCCACAAATCTCTCTAGGGTAAAGGAGTACAGTCTTCCAAGTACCTATGATCCTGTAAACACCAGATACTTGAATAATAACAAGAAAAGTTCAAAGGGCTCAATGCAGAGGTGCTTCACACCCTCTTCATGTACATAGTTACCTTTATGGTATAAATTACATGTAAAACACTAGGATAAACTAAGGAATCTCTCTTAGGAACTCTAGTTACAGCTCTATAAGCATCTTCATGACATCAGAAAGGACAAATAAAAGCAGGCACGACATTAACACCAACACTCTCCTGGGAAAAGTTGTACTTCAGAACTGGTAGCAAGGTAAAAACCAAACCCAAGTCAATGTATTTATGATCCACATGTAAAGAAATAGTTTAAATCTCTTACCCAGCTCTAAATGGAGGCAATCCAGCTACAAGCTGATATATTATACATCCCAGAGCCCAGAGGTCAGAGCTTCAAATGAGAGGAAAAAACACAGATTATGCTTTCCTACAGGAAGTCTTTAAACTACAATAAAAAAAATTCTTCAGCTTCTGCTGGTTAGAACATGGCACAGGCACACAAGACAAACTGCCATCATCTCCATGCTGATTTCACTTCATCCCTTGACAGAAGCGTAGACTAGCTACAGAAGTCTAAAAGCTGTAATACTGTAACCATCCCACAACAACTGTCTACAAGCACAGCTACAAAAACACTGAGTGCTCAGTCAAAATAATCAATAGGTATGTAATGAGACTGAAAAGAACACTTATTATCCACTATGATAATTCAAATATGCATCCAACAGTGCAATATATGCTCCTTCAGAACTGAAATCCTTTCTTCAAAACACTGGGGGGTTGGAGTGTCACATTACAACTTTTTCATGTAAAGCTTTTCTTAATATACAAAAAGGCAGGCTACACGGGTGAGGGAAGGTCTCAAGTTTTCGTGTGTTGGTCTGAAAGAGTATTTTTAACATTTTACCTTTAGGAAAACTATACATGGATTGGTTTAAAGCTTAGAAACAGAAGAATAAGATGCTAATAGACTCAAACATACTCAAATTAAGAGTCTTCTGTAAAGATGAAGCATTATGTAACTTTTAAAAGGAGATGATAGCCTGATGAAGTCTTTTCATTACCCAAAACATCCTTACTAGAAGCCAAAGTGGAAAGTCTGATGGTATTTCTATCATTTCAAGAACAGGTAGCACAAATTGTTACAGTTACTCATATAAGAGATCTTCTTCCCTGTGATTTGTCACTGATTGATAGGATTATTCTTCCATCATTGTGATAAAATAAATATACAACAGTCTGTAAGTTACCATCATGAACAAGTTTAAATAAGAAATTCCTTAGAGGTATCACGTATACGAGGCACAAAGATGAGCTTTAAACCACTGCAACTCCCAAGCAGAGTTTAGCAGAGATAACTGCTAGCTAATCTAAATACAAGTCAAAGCAAGCTGTAGCCTTTCCCCTAACTGACAGATTCTAACATTCTGTTGCTTTTGCAGGAAGGATTACCATCTTAGAGCAAGATTATATAAAACACAATTAAACCAAGTATAGTATTTGGATCACAGGAAAAGTTTTTCTGATTTATTTATGGGTAAGAGAAATTCAACTGCACATTACACACCACCTTCTCCTGACAGCACCTGATCCTGTCTGTAACTCCAGAAGGAAGATGAACTGAGGAAACCTGCACTCCGACAAGCAGCAATACTCGTGCAGAAAAAAATATTTCAAACTCTTAACAAAAATTTATATTGAGCACCTTATTTCTTTGAAATACTCAGTTTGCTTAATGTATCCCTTCCCCGTCTGACAGTATCCTGACAGTCAGTGACGTTCTGAAATACAGCAGTCCTCACCTTTTGCAAGCAGATTTCTCTGTCAGCAGTTCTGGAGAAACATACTGTGCTGTCCCTACAAATGAGTTTGCCCGTGCTGGTAAGAAAATGGAAAGAAATAAGCCAAGGCAGACTTACAGAGAAGCCAACCTCCCTCTTTCCCACCCAATTAAAACAAAAGAAACCCCACCAAACAAAACCAACAAACGAAACCCCACAACAACTAAACAAACCACAAAACTAAGGCAATCTATTGCAAGTTATGTAATAGTAAAAAGAACTCACAGGTATTTCATTCTCTACCCACTCACAAAATGGAAAAGCCGAATCAATTTCAGTGATACCTATTTAATTCAAGAAGCTAGGCATTTGGGCACTTCACTACGTATAAAATCAACCAATACGAGCTTACTAAAGTAAAAAATTAAGTTGATCAAATTCAGTTCAGCCTGGTGTTTTTTACCAGGGACTGTATGCAGCGTCATTGATTCTCAGGTTAATACTAAGCAACTAGTGACACGAGAATTCTACAACCTTCACATTTGAGCAACTCTGATAATCAGCCACTGAGCTTAAATACATAAGCAAAGAACTGTTTCAGTTAAGCCACAGCACCTGTTTGTGTGCTTGTCTTGCAAATGAAAGGCAATTTGAAGTAGTTCAACTTCCCACTATATTTGGCGATCTAGCTGGCTATACCACTACATCAAATACTACCTCTTCTGACATAATCTAAGTAGTGACAGTCAAAACTGTTTCAAGATCTCTCAGTAATTTTGTTATGTAAGAGGTAATGGTATTTGAGGGTTACAATTTGGTACATATGTACACTTTCAAAGTAACACTTGCTATAGCTGTCCTTGTCACACAATGAAGTAAATAATGGCATACCTTGTCTGCTATCTGCAGATAATACTTTTGCTGTTCCAAAGTCTGTTATTTGAATGTGCATATCTTCATTTAGTAAGATGTTCTCCGGCTTGAGGTCCCTGGAAAAGGCAAATCCTTATACTTAAAGAGCACGCAAATTAAAAGTTGCAAAACTGTGCAGTGACTTGTGTACATAATGCTACCATAAACGATGCAGGTATTCTATAAATAATGTTGTGTCAACTTTCCCCTAACTTGTTGCTGTCAACACGCAAACTGCTGACAGATTGCAAAAAGCCCATTCACTAAGGTGGGTTTTGGTTTTTCGGGGTTTTTTGAGGAAGACTTGAAGCTCTTTCATAATACAAGATCTCCAATATAGGCTTAGCAATACTGACAGTCATGCTATAGCAATCTTATTAGCATTCTCCAGCCTAACACATGGGCTACAGAACTGGTGAAACTGGGAATTCTGGAACCTTTTCTAACCCTGAAAAAAATAATAATTCTATGCTTTCGGTATTCTCCACATCCAGCCCCCTTAGCTTTTATTCCAAATTATTTCACAGGAAAGTGTTAGAAAAATACTTTGTCCTTTTAAATGTAACTGAAAGAAGTAATTCTATCAGAATTATAATTTGCCATCCTTTTGCAAATTAGCATCTGCTGTTCCCTTAACAACTGCTTGGGAGCCTACAGATGCAAAAGAATTCTTACCCAAAAAGAAGGTCTGCAGTTCAAATTTGTCACATTTACAGCTTTAAGTTGTTTAACAAACATGGATTACAAAGCACACTTATCCAGACAATGTAATTACATCAAGAACAACTGCAAAGGTCCTGTTAAAAACTTTGCTAAATTTTACCATTTGCCCAGTTACTGCTTCAGCTTTGTGGAACTGCTCACTGACATACATTCATTTTACTTTTCTTGATGACACACTGCACACTGACTCACAGCAGCAGAATTCAAGTTACTTCTGGTACATAACACCCCAGAAAGAAGAAACGTATTTAACAAAAAGTCATCTTCTGCTTTACACCAACTGATCAATCTTGAAGAAGACAAACTTCCGGTAATGTTAATTCTTACCTTTTCCCCACTAGAATAGTTGGTCAAGTAACACAGATTATCTCTCCCCTGAAAGCTGTCTTTGTTTAGGTCCCAATGTTGCCAACAGTGCTAATGTTAATTAAATGCTATTATTCTCTCATTAACTTTCCACAAAATCTGTATTTGCTTTAGACTTCATAAAGAACACTTCCAGAAAAAACACCTTGTGCATTATCAAATGCACACTGGTTTCAGCTTTGTGATTACCTGTGAATTATTCCTTTCCCATGCAAATACTCCAGAGCTGATACAATCTCAGCAGTATAGAACCTGGTGCAGGTCTCGTCAAATGAGCCAATTTTGCGTATATACTTTAGCAGCTCTCCATTTTTGGCATAGCTAAGCCCAAAATCTGAATGTAAGTTAGTTAAGGTCTATCAATAAACCATCCAAAATAAAAGTCCGCACACCTCATTTCAGAGACAAGAACAATACTAAACATACATGAACAATGGGAAAAGAATTGAAGTCAGTTCATTTGAAACTTTAAATGGCAGCAACTCAAAACGATTTCTTGAATGTATTAACCGCCTAGGACCCATGTCCCACGTTCTTATCATGGCAAAGACTACTGTGTAAACGGTAAATTTTGTAGTTTTCCAGCCAGTGACCTATATAATTCATTTAAACTGTGTATATAATTGCTCGTAAAGAGAGCTATTTACAGTCATAACAAACATTCAACCCAAGTTTAAAACGGCCCCATCATCTGTAAAGTCCCAGAGCTTTTAAAGTTTGCATTACAAAAGACAGTGCAGGTTCTGTTAGTGCATGGATATGTGTATGCACAGATACAGGGCCTATTAAAACTGATAGCAGCCTCTGTGAAAAACACGAATTACTGACCCCAGCAACAGACTCGAATAAAACAATAAAAAGCATAGACATCTCCCCTGGCCTGGAAGTCGCCAACTCCGCTCTTTGAGGGGGCACACTCCAACCATTTGCTTAACTTCTATTAAAAGCACAACTGCAAAACTGGTATCGTAAACATGAGGATCATTTAAACACCTGGAGTTATTTTCATAATTCCTGTTAGACAATGTTTCAAAGAAACCCAAAGTGGAGATTGTTTCTGTTAAGAAAGCATCACAGCAAGTTTGAAAATCCGAAGGATACACAGCTTTTCATCGTCCTGAAAGGTGAAGTAGAGTTTCACAAAAAAAGGGTGATCCAGGCGGGACATTACATCTCTCTCCCGTGTCACATATGGCACCTTGTTTTCTTTTATGATATGACGTTTCTCTAGAATTTTAACTGAATGAAAAGAAGACAGAGTGCAGTCAGGAACGACGGCCCCATGGAGCCACCCGAGTCACCCACGTGGCTTAGCTGGTTGATTCTTTTTGTTAGATAAAATGATCATAAACCCACTAATTCTGTCCTTTGAACAGGTGTCTTTTAACAGCACTACTTTGCTACTGTATTTGCAAACAGTTTATGTTGAAGGAGACAATACTTACTGGCATATTCCCTAGAACTTGACAATTCTCGAGCCAAGACAACCTGTTGTCAGAGGAAAGAAAATTATTGTAACCATTCATTAAAGACATATACTAATGTGGATTTTGATCTGTCAGTAGGTATTCAGGGCATTGATTGTCCAAAATAAGCTATCACAACTGCAAGCAGCAAAATATTTAAGCATATTTCATATTATGGTGGCTTCAGCAAGACATCTGCAGACATTCAGTTTGGCACAATGACTTGTTTTTTTTGCTAGAAGACTTACACATCTGGCTGGGTAAACACAGATTTGTTCTTCTTTTCCCCCCAGAAGAATTGTGAAGACTGTAACATAAGCCACAGTGAATAGCCAAAGCTTTTAAAGGGGGAAAAAAAGCAACAACTGCACTGAAGCATATTTATAAAAATCTAGCTGTCACAGTACTTTTCCTTAACACAAATGGCAAATATTGTGAGATTGAATTTTACCTAAACCTTCAAAAGTAGGAAATGAGACAGAGCTTCAACTATTTACAGCTTTCTAGGAAAATGTTTTAAAGCAAGGCAAGGAAGATTTCCAGTTAGTAGAAGCAAGGAATAAAGTTTCAGGGAAACAGATCATTTTTAAAGAGAAAAGCTTTTTGAGGAACATGTATTAAAGCTCATCTTCAAAACAGATATTTGGCACATTTTATAAAAAAAGTAAAGTTACCGTTGAAAAAGATCCTTCACCCAGAATTTTCCCAAATTTGAAGTCATCAGGTCGTTTCTTTCGAGGCTGTGGAGGCTGCTGTCCTGTGTGTTGCTGCAAGGAATTTGAACTGGATCTCGATTCAGCTGCAGTGCCCTCCATGTTAGATCCCTGTCTGCTGCCACAGGTGGAAATGACAGATGGAGTGCTGGAATCTGCTTGGTTCCTCACCATTGATGGGGATGAACAGGAGCATAACACCACGCTAGATTGGATTGGAACAGCATCATACTGAAAAGAGAAATTAAACTGTTGTTCCTATACCTTCAAATAAATACCGCACGGAGTTGCGTTATTTCCATAAGAGCATCATGTGAAGTCCTATTTGAAAGGGTTATCATTAAAATGCATTTAGGAGGGAATGATAGTATTTATTTCAGGAATGGCAACTCCTGATTTTTACACAACTCTGTGCAGGTCATGCTGTGCATATACATACATACACCCATAAGCCAAATATCTGAACACTTTCATTCAAGAACGCTTTTTTCCCCAAGCTCAAAAAAATGCCCCCTACCACCAAAGAATTGAGTTTCACTGTATATTCTCCTACAAATAACATGATAAACTTTATTTCCTGCTTACAGGCAGAGCCATACATACAATCTTAGTAAGTAGTAGTTCTTCTGAAAGCAAAAAAATTGTATCCTTAAGCAATGAACACCTGTATTCACAAGTAACATCAGTTTAGAGATCCCAGTTACAGGGAACAGTAAATAAAGGTAAAGCATGAGAACTTTAATGGAGACAGAGGATACTTTACTCCATTTTTACTTGGAATCTCACTTTCTCCAACAGTATTTTTCTAATACAAACTGGGGAAAGACAGGAAGAAAAGAGAGAACAATATACAAGAGGAGGATGAGCTGCACTGTTTAATAACCAGCAGTATCTAATACTTTTTTTGAAGAATGCTCTGGTCCATGACCTTTTAAAACAAGGGAGATTGCACTATGTAAATGATCCGTAGGGTCACATAAAGACATCCCAACTCCAAAACAAAGAACCAGATGTGTAGCCCAGAAAACAGCAAGTACAAAGGAAAGTTAAGATTAAGAACAAGGACAGAGGCAGATGTAATAGATCTGAGGTATCAGTTACCTAAGAAATGACAGAGCTGTGCAACTATGCTGTACGCTGTATATAACACTGTATGTTGCACCTGAACATTTACAGAGAAGCTTACTCCTACACTTCTCTTTCCACACTCCCCATTCTTGTTTCAGTAGCTTATGTCCTGTATTAACCTTCTCAGTATTACTTTCAAAGACCCCAAGAAACACATCTGCAGACACTATACATGTTTCTGCATATGGCTTCACATATTCAGGAGTACAGGCTAGCGCATCCAATCTAACCTTATAGAGCCACTCTCCTCCCAAACTCAGACTGAAGAGTCTGGCTGACAGATCCAGACGTTTTTAGCGAGACACAAAGTCAATCACTGAAGAATTTGAAAATGCTCCAGACTGTGTCTGCAGCTCCCAGAAGCCTGAGGATGCTCCTTCCTGCAACTACCAATACTGCTCTGCTGGCACGCCAGTGAAAGCACAGGTCCTCACAGTCACAACAGGCTTATCTATTGTGCATCATGGATCACTGCTGGCCACACCGATAACCACTGATGTAATCTTTATATGCCTGCTTTTTAAAACTAGCTTCTAACACCATCTACTTCCCCAGGTACTTAAGGGTACTGTTTCTAATTTGCATCCACATAGAAATTGTTTCTTTCTTAGTACAACATGCTGTGAGTTTGAAAACTTAGTAAGAAAGAGAATAAGAAATCTGCTGAAGTAGAATTATAGGATCAACAGACTTATTTTCACTAAATTACTAGAAAGAAGCTTCCTTTTCATTTACATGCCATGTGAAGCAAGTCCTTATATTGTTCTTTTCCCCTCTTGCCTGCAAACAGTAGAAATAAACCTTACGAAAACTTGAATCAATGGGAGACGCCCACTAGTCATCACTACATTTTCGTTTTACACTTTTCTCTCCCCCTTTTGCATGAAAGGCCAGTCACAGGCAAAGCTCCAGCTGTCTAAAAGGAGCTACTTTTGGAATATTTTTTGCAATTCAGCACTTTGCCATTAGCACTACCACTACAACTTTTCACGTACCTAAGCACATTGCAAGCGAACAAATACGAGACTGCTCTGAAGCAAGTACAGCCACAACAACTGCATCTCTACTAGCTTTTTCCCACTGCAAAATCTGCAATGCTGTTTTGCTGATGTAGCGCTATCAACATCAACAGCAGCAAAAAATACTTGTAGAGACTGGGCCTTCTGAAGCTTCCAGCATCTTCTGTCCTAAGTGACATGATACTGAACTCTGAAGACGACTGAGTATCTTTGCTACTACTGAAACTCTATTAGCAAGATCACATTTCTGTTACAAAGTCAGCAGGACTAGGGTCCTAACCTATCAGCTCATCTGACAGCAGGGTGTCTAACTGTCATTACTGACTCTAACTGCATTAAGACATAGGGCAGACACGGTGAGAAAAGCTCTTCCATCCACTTACCTACAAGGCAGATATTTTTTGGACGCAGATCTTGCTAACTGCAAGTATTATTTACACAAAGCAACATGAGCGCTACACCTCAACCGGTACATTTGTTTTGATTATAAACAATGCTGATGAGACCATATGAGCTAGAACATTAGCATAAGCTTCTCATTAATGTTTTTAATGGAAAACTGGATTACAGCTCTACTCAATGAAACGCTGCAAATGATCGACTTGGCGTTACAGGATGTCTGAAATATGGAATACTGTTGAGGAAAGTGAATATAGGACATATTCCGAGTAACACTGGTTACATTCTTAAACAACTTTAATTAATAGTATCCCCAAACAAGGATCTCTTCAGTTCACACCTGGATTGACTCTCAAATCAAAAAGGTTGAAAGAGCAGTAACTGCATAAAGACTGAGGGAAAAAAAAAAAACCACCACCAAACATCAAACCCAAACGCCCATACCATTTGTCAAAAAATTCATCTCTTACCTAAAGCATTCTACAGACAAACAGTGAGGCCTTACTTTTGTTTCTACCAAAACACTACTACAAATCAAAATATGGTCCAAGAACTTAGGCACAATGGTGGGAAACAAGTGGACAAGGACTTAAGTTGGTCCATACCTGGATATACAGAACTAGAAAGCATCACCTAGGAGAAGCAAAGTCACATTGCCACTAGTACTGTGCAAAGATCAAGTAGAAAACCAAACAAAACAGTTTCAGGAGAAAAATTAAGAATCTGAACTCCTGTAAAAATCATCTAATCCTCTGGCTACAGTTAGCTTCTGAAATCTGTATTTACTGAATAATCCAATTGGTTTGGCCCTGTAGTATTAGGAAATACAGAGTTCTAAGAATTAGGATCACCTGCAATTCAAGTCCTACTGCATGTACGGATCACAGAGTGGTGAATCTCATAATTGTTAGACTGAATTACGGCAAAAAACTCTCAGACAATCAGGAAGACACAAACAGCAAAGTCTGCTTAAGGAAGTATAACATTCAGAAAGCAGCAGAGCTGCACTCTAGGCTATCTATGACTTAACCTTTTCACTTGCAAATGGAATTTGAGAGGCTTTCAAAACAGCTACTATGTAATACAGTTACCTCACCACTGTCACAGTAGCAAACCACAGCTTCTATGTCTCTGCCAAACATAGCCTGTTGATACAGAAAGGGGAAGATTTCCCAAAAATCTATGAGTGTAAGATTCAATGTCCAAATTAATACATTTGCCTTCAAGTAAAAATATGGAATCCATCTATTTACCTGTGCAATTAAGGAAGAATAAAGGCCTTTATTTCACACAGAAGGTAGGTAATTGTTTTCACTGCAAAGGTGTTTCATAGTTTTAGAGATAAAGCTACTACTTACCAATACTGAGATTCTGCTGAAGGCAGTTTAAGTTACAAAGGCTTGGCCTGAGAGGTTTTGTAAATTACTTTGATACTGTCACACAAGCCACAAATTCTGAAACTAAATCTATTTTCTGATGCTTATAATTTAAATATTGACAACCTGGGGTCTCCTAAGGATTTATCTGCAAAATTCAAAGGATAAAAATTAACAGCTAGGCAGTTATATTTAATATATTCTTTTCATGACACAATGAAAAGGTCAATGGTATTTCAGAGAGGTGACAAAAATGCAGCAACTGCATCTGGCACAAACCTTGTATCTGGAAAAAAGCATAAGAAGGGGCAATTAACAGATATTATGCTTGTCTTTCCCATGGCCTCCTCCCCCCCTCATACGCCGCAATGAAAACGCTGACCTTCTCCAGGTTCTCCAACATGTATTTGCGACAGCCTCCACTTCAAAGGCTAGAGTGCAACACATCCTGGAAGGTCCAGCATATTTTAAAAGAAAAAAGCGACTCATCAGGTCAGATACTAAGATGAGCCTAAATATGTCCTCAAACTGTTCCTCACAGCGCCTAAAAGGAGAATGCAGGCGAAACCAGGGTAGTTCAGCTACAAGAAATGTTACGATATGAAGAAACACTGATTCAGAATAACAACATCCAACCAAAAGCCGCATCTTCCAGTGCAGAGAGCACAGGAAGCATAGGTGGCACTCCCACTTATACACCAGTCCCATCCAGGACTGCTTTGCAGCAAGCATCATGATTATGATGTGATCCCTATCAATATTCAGGTTTTCATGAACTCTGCTACATCAGAGTGACTGCCATGAATGAAGACAATCCAGAATACCAATAGATGGTGTGCTTTCAGAAACTGCAGTAAACATCAGTCCTCATACTTTATATGTTCTTGTCTATTTATGCTCTGGACTTCTGTCTAAAAATGGACTTTCAGACTTTCTAAGTAACCAAATGCATCCTCTTTCTATTAACCAATCGCACATATGTGTGTGTGTATAGAGAGAAACAACATACTGAATAATTCACGAAACTCCACAATGGAAATGTCAGTTTCCGTTTATATACACTTAGAAGCTTGACAGATAAAGTATTAATACCCCTATTTGTCAGCATTATTATTACCTTTAAGAAACTAAAACATTTGCCTAAAGAGAAAACACATTCACATGGATTAAAAAGTGTCACTGGATGCTGTCACCACCTAACATTACAACATAAAATCATGCCTGTAATGGACAGGACAAAACGCAGACTAAAGCAAGTGTCAAGAGTACTTCTGAATGCACTACACAAGTAGTAAACTGTTCACACACC